GACAGCCTGTTCTTCTTTCTTTGCCACCTTTGCCCGTCAAATATAGTTATGTGCATACTCAAGCTAAATAGCGATGTCATTACACCTGCCGGCTGCCCCTACTCCGAGTATTGCCTTCACACCCGCTGAGGAAGAATGAAATGTTTTGTGACTCGTATTTTGATCGCGAGAACTGAGCTCGGTGGTGGTTAACTCCAAATTTATTATGGTGGTATCACGTCCACGCAATTATTTCAGACAAGTACGGCCTACAGGATGGATAGTAGCTGCAGCATAGGACAATGAAAGATGAAAAGGAACTCGTCAACGGTCACTACAACCTTGCAACCATCTCTAACAGCGGAACAGCCCTCCCTAATAGTGAGCATCCACTCCTCATCAAATCCGACCTTCCTCGTCAGTCTCTCGCCACACTGAGCACATGTCTATCCTGCGCAAACGCCAGATAAGCTATTACCACTGCCATAATGTCAGCCTTCCTTCCCCTCGGGGCGACGACCACCAATCTCGCGGCGGAAAACCACCTGGGGAACTGGGATTTCATATTCGTTGAGGGGCATCGCGAGTGCTATCCAATCGCGTGCTGCAGGAGCTGGCAAGGGGAGAGAAGCATGTACTTTTCAGTGGCTTGAGGGAGCGCAGGAACGGCAAGATGAAGTTTGCGCAATTCGCGACTAGACCAAGTCAATTCTTCCGACCAACTACCAGTGTTCACGCTTCCGCCGGCTCGGCTTGATCCTGGGGAAACCACAGTAATTTGTAGGATATGGGTGAAATGGTGGTTTGCGAAGGTGCGCAGGGCAGCGGTTCGTCGGCGTTGTCTGCATAAGCGACGTACAAATCGTCTTCAACTAGATCCAGATGGCTCTTTTCGCTGGAGGACTGCCGTGGGACGAAAGGAGGGTTCGAGGGAATCTCTGACAGAGAAGAAGAGGCAGTACTATAGTGAGACTCCATATCCGAGTCCGAGTCCACCAACTCAAAGTCGTAGTCTTCTTCGTCAGACAACCACTCGGAAGCGACAGAGTTCGGAGTTGGCGGGAGAAGAGGGGTGTACTTTGTAATGAATTTTCGGTAAGCATTGGCATAGAGCGGACGCTCCTGGAGAGTGGTTCGAACGGTCAAGGTGATCTTGCGGCGCTCCCGTAAGGACAGACCGTGTTGGGGGCAGGGTAACATGGTCAATTCACCAGGGGTTGACGACACGGCGGGATGCATCTTAGGTCGTGAGTAGAATATCGTTAATTGAGTTCACTTCCAAACGGTGTTTTTGCGTCTTCCGTCAAGGAGGAGCAAGCGGTTGTGTATGAGAGTGAAATGAAACTAGTACGAGACTTAAGGATGTCGAGTCGCAGACCCGACAAGAAGAATTAAAAGGATGAAGGCAATGATGAGGGAAAGGAGGGAGATGCTGACCTCTATATGTATTGTAGAAGGGAATGGGTCCGCCACCTTGCCACGAAGTGGAACACGGTGGAAAGTGGTCAATGACTTTCAACGATGACCCATTTGGTGGTCATCTCCACGCCAGCCCGTTACCAAAGCCACTGGCGGAGGAGTGGTATCCGATAATTGTCACAGTGTGGAAAGGTGGATAACAATGGTTCTCGTAGACAACGGCTTTGACTTAAAAGCGTCTCAATCAGCCTTTCACATCAATATCAATGAGACGTGTCACTGAACTCACCGTGTCATTGTCCACGTCCAGGCCCCTAATAGTGCGTGCGTCCCAATCCGAAATTTAGGCCTGCAGCGCACCGCTGTCAATGTTCAGCTTGCCTTGCGACATATCTTAATCTTCATTTTGTCGAATAACGCTACGTCGTGCGCGTCTAGGAGTGGTCATTGCAAGATGAATAGTGCCACCATTGGTACTGCAAGAACGACCTGGATCGTTCAATCTCGTAGCATCAATAATGCACGCCACTACCTCCCACCCCCTTTTAATTCCTTGAGTCACCGCAGAGAATCGTACTCCGTACCCTCCGTGGGAGTCGGGGAGAATCGACAGTTTGCACTGCCACCGGCCATAGCACTCCTCACCACATACATACATCATTGGGCATGGTCAGACCACAGTTTAAAACCTGAATGAGACATCGAACTAACTCATTATCAGGCAACAGGTGCCTACCGGCTTCTCACAGGACATCCGCACGACGATAGTGTGTGCTCTCTGACCCTCTCTGACCGTCAAGGCCGGCGAGTAGGGGACGGATACACAATCAAAACACCTCACGGCGGTACACTCACAGTCTACTCTTCTTCCCCTCTCACCGAGAATCCACCAGTACTTACACATACTCTTATGCCTACGGTCCAACTGGTGTTTCCGGCCTCTTCAGCAACCGATATGCTGCAGGCTGTGCGATATTCGCCTCCGTAGGAGGCCTCTCATTCGGATACGATCAGGGCGTGATAGCGAATGTACTCGTCATGAAAGATTTGTTTCAAGGTGGCCTGTTGGACCATGGGAGAAGGGCATCATGAGTGAGTGTGCATGTGCTCCTAGTGGAGACATCCCATCTTTTGTCTCGTGCGTGAACGAATGCGTTGACGCGGTGTGTGGCGTTATCTTCATCTTTCTTCTCAGCTGCTGTGCTTGAGCTCGGCGCACTTTTCGGAGCACTTCTGGCGGGTGTGTCGGCGGATAAATTCTCAAGAAGACGTTCTATATTCCTTGCTTCCCGTAGGTCCCGCCTCACCACCTTGCCCGTAAGTCGTGAGCAATAACCCATACGAAACGCCACCCAGTGGTCTTCTGCTTAGGGTCAGGTTTCAAGCAGGTGCACAGTCCCTCAATCACCTCATCCTCGGCCGCGCCATCGGTGGCGTAGGTGTCGGCGCCTAAGGTAAGTTATGCACATGAGTCACATATTTATCCCCGATTCCGACACCTGAACACCCACCCGGAACGTTAGTATGCTATCCCCTCTACATCGCTGAAATAAGTTCTCCCGAACTCCGCGGTTCTCTTATGGCTCTGGAGCAGCTCGCTATTGTGCTTGGCGTTGTATTTGGCTTTTGGTTCGGCTTTCTTACACGAAATGGTATGTGCCTTGGACGCTGTCCTAGACCGCATGTGAATTCCGCATTATACATTGTGCAGTGCAAGGTTCGGCCTCCTGGCGCATTCCCCTTGCATTGCAGTTCTTGCCAGGCATTTCCCTCTGCTAGGGTGCTTCCTTCTCCCACCCTCCCCGCGCTTCTTAGTTCTCAAAGGAAGGCTGGACGATGCTATGCAGTCACTTTCTAGGCTTAGATTACGTACGGCCGCGGAGGCCCCGTATGATCCGTTACTCCAGGTGAGGTTCTCTGAGCTTTGCCCTGGCGACTCTGACGCCGAAGCTTGGCCGTGGACTTACTATATTTAGCTGGAGTTCTTAGAGATGCAGGTAGACGTTGCCCTCGAAACGCAGTGCTTGGGTACGAATGACAGAGAAGGGTTTGTGAAAAGCTGGAAAAGGCTTTCCACCGGGAGTACTTCGATCGGACGCTTTTGGGGATCATGATCATGTTCTTTCAGCGTACGTCATCCACATGCCTAGACGGTATTTGTGGGCCCGTCACCACCTACTCTTCGCAGAATGGAGCGGGATTAATGCTTTACTCTATTACGGCCCAACGCTGGTCAGAAGTATCGGTTTCGAGGGTGATTTAGTGACGTTGCTTGTATCAGGCGGTATCGGGATCGTACAATTCCTGGCCGTGATACCTGCAATTCTATACCTGGATAGGTGGGTGAGGTTTCTTTTTTCCCTGTCTTCTTTGCTTTTGGGACATTGAGGGCTGATATAATTGAATATCCGCAATACATCCGCTGTGCAATGTTCCTTACCATCTTGTACATACTCTCCTTGGTGGTGACGGATGAGCGCAGGTCGTAAGCCTTTGCTGAGAGGTGCGTGTTTTCTTCCCTGAGTGGTCGTACGTATTGTTGAATTTATCATGACATTCTGAGCAGGTGGCAGCGCGCTAATGACCTTGTCTCATATCGTTATCGCTATACTCGTGCGTCGTTCCTGTGTCTTGCTTCCTGCTTAGCTATTAACGGAATGTGCTTTGATGGGTGGCGATAGATCTATCATTACGAAGGGAACTGGCCTGCGCATTCGTCTGCTGCGTGGGTGGCTATTATGTACGGTCCTAGCCTTCTTCGTATTCCCCCGCCGTCGCTGGCCCTGAACGACTTCTCCGCGTCATAGATCCATATACACCTTCACGCAGCGTACGGAGTGAGCTTTGGCCCCATCGGTTGGGTACTCCCGAGTGAGGTGTTCCCACTTTCAATGAGGAGCAAGGGCGTGTCGCTGGCCACGGCCTCGAACTGGGTTAATAACTGTGGGTATTTTCATGATGGAGACTATATTTTGTGTCCGAGCATTGATGTGCTTTCGACGTTTTTGACGCCAACGCCGACTTTCGTTATCTCGACCTGGCCAAATGACATTCGTAATTGACGCGTTACGGCAGTTCTGATCGGACTTATCACTCCGCCAATGATTCAGTCATCTGCCGCGTACGTTATCGGCGTCTCTCTTTTTCCCACTCGACTTTTTCACCCCAAAGCTAATATTCCGTACTTATGCCGTGACTGACTTCGGTTGCCCCAACGACGCGAAACACGCGACCACAGAACAACCTTTCTTCTCTTCGGAACAGCATGTTTTGCGGCACACTTTTGGAGCACGTACCTCGTCCCCGAAACTGCAGGCATCTCGCTCGAGGAAATGGATGCCGTGTTTGGAACGACGGCAGGAAAAGATGATGGAAGGGTGAAAGTAGAAGTGAGTACCTCTTGTCTTTTTTTCTTTGGTCTCGGCTCTGGCGCGAGCATTCGCGAGAGAATACCAAGGGTCGAGTACACCAAACTTTTTCGATAGAGAAACTTGAAGCTTATGGGGATCATGCTTCTCAGCTCGAACAGGACTTCGGCATACACAATCTCGTTAGGGGTCTCGTGAACAGGTCCGACTAAGTTCTTGACTAACTATCCTTGTCGCAACCGAGCTCGGCAAGGACTGCCCTCGATGGTCCACCTGACCTTTCACTCGCGGCCGTTAGTATGTATGGACAAAGTTTGGTTCGCTTTAATAGCGTGATCAACCCATCCCGCATCGACCTAAACGCGAGTTAGGATGAATAGACGGAAAGAGCAGAGGAGCGAGGCAGATGTAGATCCACACGTACTCGGTGCTAGCCATACATATTTCATATCTTGATTGAATTGATGTCAATGAGTAGCTTCAAGATCATCGTGCCATCAGCGTCGCCAGATGCCTTTCCAACGACTATGATTTTGGGGTATCTACTATGGCGAAGGCGGAATAAGGTCAACTGTACCGTAGGAAGAGAAATTAGGTAGTACAACATAATACTGGCACCGTACAGTTTCCTGAGCAAGAGAGGGAGCGGAGAAAAGATGTGGGAGAGAGCGACTGCTTACGATATCAATCAAATAAATAAATAAAAAAGAGCGACAGGAACCCAAGACGGGTAATTAGTATGCCGAGACTATTTTGGCGGACGCAGCCCCAAACCCCCAGGAGTAACAAATAAACCACAAACTACACCGCAGACTTTACTCTCTTGCGCCCCGTTAACGTAGAGTATGCACTCGAAATCTTGCGGAGAGTTTTACCAGGAGATTTTGGTGTACCGGGCATGTGTAGATAATCCACCGCATCAGACATGGCAAATCGAGGCGGAGGTAGGGGAGGCGCCGAAGGGGGAGATGTATAGTAACCAGAAGTAGGGAACGTAGGGATAGGAATGGGCATCGTGTGCACGTGTGTCGTACTCATGTTCATGTTGGTTGCTCCGGCGATCGCGTTCGCCACGTGAGGAGGTAAAGGAACTGGATTAGATATCGCAGGGCGCTGTTTCTTAGACTTTCTACCTCCTGGCCCCTGAGAGTGCGACCTAGAAGACCCAGAGGACGAAGGTGAATGGGATGGTGACGGCGGCGGAGACGGCATTTGTGTGTGAATCCGTGATTGGGGATGAATTTTCTTCCGGTTCACATCCCGCGAAGCTGACGTAGTGCGATCCCGCCTCTCCTTCTTCTCTCGATCACGCGAAACGGGAAAGTAGTGGACCGACTCGTTCGGGTTTGAGTAGAGTATCCTCGCTTCCGAGGCCGCAAGAACGTCGGGACGGTCCCCTTTGCCCGCCATCAACCCGTTGGCCGTCGGTGATAATGGCACCGGGGATGGCACAGATGACGTTAACACAAGGTCAATATGATGTGCTTCATACGCGGAATGAGCGAGTTTAAGGGGCTATTAATATTAAGAAATAAAACATCCCAGTCAGTTGAAAGCCGCGGAAGATGGAGAAGGGGGGGCACGAGGGAAAAGGAAATTGAACCCAGAAAACCAAGTTCTTAGGAACAGAAGCATCCGACCGATCCAAAAAGAGTGATCGAGAATCTCACCATTTTTTTCTCGTGACGAAGCGGTAACGGGGCGGCATCCACAACCTTTTTCTTCGGCACCGTGTCCAGACTCATCATTTCCTCACTGTCCGCTGAAGACAGTGAGGATGACAACGGCGCTGCGGGCACCGATGGTACGGTGGTCTGTACTGGTGGCGGACGTATCACCGGTTTCGGTTGTGGTGGCAGCAGACGGGGAGACGGAGGGACGTAAACATCCCGACATCCCTTCCTGGGGCTCTTCTTGATCGTGTCCATCCGTTTCTCTTCCGCTGCATCGACGTTTACGCCCATATCCACGATATCAACGTCCAGCTCAGCAGCTTCTTGCTGATGATACCAGACTTGGTCATCCTGCACAGCAGTGGCCCAACAAATGTCTGAGAAACAATCTGTCGGTGAACGAAGGAGTTGTTCATCCAGGGCGTCGAGACAACTGGTATCGAAACCGGCATCGCGCAGTGCACTGTCGATTGCGATGAAGGAAGGGGATATCGGTGACTGGGGTGTGGAGAGCTTGTCCGTGCGATCGACAAGGTTTTCTTCCATATTTCCATCGCACCGGTAAGGCGCAACGGATGGCTTATCAGCTGGTGCACCGGAATCCCCACTCCTCCAAATGCCCTCCAGTGGGGAAGGTCGTGGGCGTGGATTGGGCCGAAATTCGTCACCCATGACGCAGAATGCGTTGAGCTGTTATCATTTCGTTAGTATGCAGCGACTTCGATAAGGTAAGTGCGAAGGCGAGAGACGGGCGTACCGGAGAGTCGAGAACGAGGTCATCTATACCGGGAATAGATTTTGGCATGAAGGTATATGTACGTGCGTACTTATCGCGAGGAGTACATCTATCGACGGAGAACTTCGTCTCGGCCAAGTTCATCGCTCCTACAGCTTGGACGTTAGAGAAGGAGAGGGGAGGGAAAGGGCTGTCCCTGAAACGGTGCAGGCGAATTTAATATACGCACAGAAGACCCGAATTGACGGGTGTCCGAGACGAGTCCCCCAAGGTGGTGTGGGAGCACTGGCCGTAAAGTTGACGGCATGATAAGGGATGGCTGCCTGTGTCACCGAAATAAAGCGTAATAACCGCCGCGTCTTCCTAACCCACAAACGTGCTCGGTAATAAGTCCCGGTCTAATACGCTTAGGCCAATCAGACAGAGAGAACCACTCAGGTCATAATCATAAATGGCAAACGTGAACATACTTACATAATCTCACTGTGTCACCAAGAAGTGCTCACCTGTCGCTACTGAGAACACTCCTCGTGCCTTTCGTCGACCCTGAAACAATTAAATACATTTCAGAGAAGCAGCAACGATAGAAAAGCTTCTTGCGTTGCCTGTTTCAATGGCTGCAAGCCTACTGTGGCAGCAAGGAGCGGCAAACTTTGTCTCTTGCAATAGTCCTGGAATTATGCTGAACCTCCTAGATAATTGCAAATTTACATTGCAGTGGGACTCACCTGAGGCTTTGTATGAGATCTGAAACCGATCAGTGCCACTGAGTCACTGATCTTGTTGCATCTGATCCAAGATGACCACCAACGAGCACCGAGAGACGGGATTTGGCCCTACTACATAATAATAATACGGAAGGAACCACCCACGAAATGCATTCTACGGTTCCGTTGTTACCCTGAATGAAGAGAACACCGAGAACCGGTCGCTAACTGTCAAAAGTCGTTCACCGTAGCGGTCACGCTCCACTCGTGGGTAGGCGGAGTCTGCAGGCAACAAGCCTTGGCTCAATGCGTCCCCCGGTACATACCCCGAACTCTGTCTCTTGTCCGGTCCCTTTGTCCTATCCTTCGTAACTACTCTGTTCTCTGAATCCATTATGATTCAAGATAGCGGCGCAAGGAACTTACTATAACAAGCCCACATATTGGACCCGAATAGTTACCACGACGGAAAAAGAAAGTATTGCCATCGGAATATGGACAAGGGCCGGGCTCGGAACGATCTCAAGTTCTTATTGGAATTGAATCTGTGTTTGGTCTGTGTGCTAATAGTCGCAACTTACTTGCAACTTACTGTATCAAGTCGCGGCGGGGCTGCACTCGCACCTTACAACCGGTAGCTGGAGACACTGCCTATGCCAGCATATCATGCGTGGAGGGCACCACAATCATATTGGATCACATGCGTAAACTAGGAAATGGGATAATAGGTATGTAGAAATGCCGACATACGTGTACCAGAATGTGTATAATAATGATAAAAACAAGTTTGCAATGCAGCCGCAACCTTACCGGCCTTCAAAAAACGTAGGTTGCAATGTTCCCGGACCGACTCTGCACAGCAGGTGGCCAATACTTTCCACCGCAAAGATTATCCCGTCATCTACAACTAAGGTCAACAAGGTTAGAGTAGGCAATGGGGGCCGAATCACACGCCGACATGGCCCTACCAAGAATCGCAGCCAATTGGCATACACAGCATCCATTCGGCGGGCGTCAGACCCGCCGCAGATAGGCTGTGTCGTTCCGTATGTCAACGTATGGCAACCAGGTCGCCGAGCACAAATTGCGTGATAGACTTGAACACTGCAATGGTACGGCAGTCATGAAACAGAATCCGAGTCGAGGGCGCACAAGGCATGTCTTGTTCCAATTAACACCATTTAGGTTACTGTGATCAGTAACTGGTTGTACTACAGAGGTTAAGTTTGCAATGTGGCACATCAATCAATGATCCTGAACGTTGAATTTTGATTTTGCCATGCCATCCATGATCGGTGTCGTGGGCAACCCGCCGCCTGTTTCACGTCCACGTATAGACAGTGGGATGTCAGGTGGTCGTGATCTAGTCATCCAGGAAAGTCGGAAATTTGGACACCCTTGTGAGTGTGTAAGGCGGCCGCCTAGTTGGATCACTTCTGTGGATATTGAAACTTCTCCGTTGCCCGTGTCGATTTGATGTTGTTGGACCCAGTGCGGTGTTGGGCATCACTTGCTCCCAAGAGGCTACAATATCTAGGGAATACAAAACATACCTGACCTATCTTTCTTGTCGGTGAACCTTACCGAAATCTGTTCCCCATGACACCCATCAGTGGCTCCCGAAACTGTGGACATGAATTGCCATGTGTCCGGACTGCGCACCCTTAACAAACAATGTGAGAACCTCTCCCCTCATTGGAGGCCACCTACTGAACGGTAAGTTGTGCTCATAACATCATTGTTATCTTCAGCGGATCACGAATTGGACGAGTGGCGTTGTTTATGGTAGGGAATTTCAGGCCCTGCAGTTCTGCGTAGTTAAGGTTACACAGAATCATTTAATCACCTGCCGTATGGTAGTCGACCATGATGATATCCGTGGTGTTCGCCGGCGGATCATCTGTCTTTCCTACGTGCACAAAATCGTCCGCTTTCAAACTAGAATACAGTTTCGAAGTGTTCCGGTAAGGGGAATGTCATGTCGTACCGCAAAACCATCCTCGACAATGGGTAATAGCTTTCCTTGTGTCTGAACCAGGTTGTAGGTTCTTCCACTTAGTATGACATCAACTCTTCCTTTTGTCAGCTCCAGGAGGTAGTCGCTTACTTGACCGAATGACGCTCCACAGGCTACCGCACCGTGCAAACAACATTCGGCTGGACAAGTTGGAAACTATGTATCTCGCAGGAATGCACGAGGCATCATCAATGAAGATATCGTGAAAACGAAAAGTACGATGCAAATTCCTGTGTAGAGGAATGTTCGAATGGGAGATCTGTTGGATCGATGGACAGGTGTTAGCCAATTTTCACTAGGACTGAAACCTTGTAATAGGGAGGGCCCGCATTTGCGATTGCGTTCCGTAACACGACTGTAAAGTGGAAGTTGTCACAACACGGGATTCCGTTCGGTAGGATCAATACATGCACATTCCGGGGACAGAGGTGATGTCCTGCACGGAACAGATGTTTCATCCTACAACAAGGGAGAAAGTTTGTAGAAACTGGCTTATCTTGAACGTTGTCGAGTCATTTACGATAACTGCACCTCCCTACTTTCTCCGAGATGATATGATTGCGCCCCCACGCAAATAGGCGTTGCTTTGTGGTAGTTGCGGCGGCCTGTCGCAAGGAGCAGTAGTATCACAGATAAGAGCTATGAAGTTTCCTTGTTCGATGGAAACGAGCGTACGAGGGCACATTCCTGATTGGCGAAACCCTCAAGGGAATACCAGGTAATTGACGTTCTTCGAGCTGTCCGCTTGAGCTGTTTTCGCAAAGGGGCCAAGTCGAACGAAATTCCATGCGCGTGAATGGGTGAAAAAGCAATAGATCAAGCCCCCCATCGATTCCAACAGTTCCGCAACTCCGGTACCTATCGGAGCCAGGAAAATTGTGGACGATGTCAGTGAAGGAACCAATAGTATGAATTCTATTCCTTCAAGTTTATCGTATCCGACTCGCGATGCCATCTGAAGCTCAACTCAAGAGTAGGATGTTCCGCAATAGACGGAACTCACGGTGAAGTGTATACATATACCATTGCTGGTTGGGTAGCTTGATTTTCCATTGGTTTTATTCTGGTTTTGGGCTTTGTGGTGGCTTAACGACTCTGTCCTGTTGGACTTGGCGGAGAACAGCTCGCAAGCGCAATGTTACAATACCAGAAATTTCGTAGTAGCGCAAAAAGCTCTCAGCTAGTACGAGAAGTCCAAGGACCCGCAAGTACAAGTGGTCACTTCCGTACTTCTCGACACAGTTCGCCCAGTACACAGCAGCAATGCAAAAACGTGTGCTCCTCGAACGAGTGGACACGCGTTCGCGGGCGAGCGTCCAGTTAAATCAGTGTACAATCGATAAGTATCCACTGTTCGGTTGTGAGCTCGAACCCGTAAGTCAGCATGGAGATACAAACCTGTATTGTACCCAAAGGTTGGACGACAGCGAGGATTCTACAACCGTCCATTGTCACATGCGAGCAAGAGATTGTCTCCGCAAGAGAAGTTATATGCAGCGCATGTAATGTATCGGACAGGAAGGAGATCGCTAACTGCATAAGCTAAAGAACTGAGGAAGAAAAAAAGGGAAGGGCAATGTCACAAAGACGTAAGGTAATAACGTAGGTCAAAGCGGTGAAAAGTAGAACTTTAGGTAACGCGTTTGAAATGAAGACAAGAAGAAGCATTTACAATGAAAAGGAAAAGAGAGTTGATGTGCACAACCAATAGCCCCAATGTTACTTACACGTCGACAGCGTACCACTTCACAACTGCGTCGCCGGTTGCGCGGACACACATGCAGTCGAAGGGTAGAAAGTGAAATGAGGTAGTACTGTTGTGCCGGCAAGGAACCCGAAACCTTCATCCTCATCCCGACTGGAGGCCAACAACACCTTCCTTTCTATACTTTCGGCAGTTTGGGATCTCGTGATGGTTCGATATGTGCACGAGGAGCGAGAGGAGGGACCAGAACAGTGAGAGACAGACGTATATGCACAAGGATGGCGACAGATAGAAAGACAGACATGAGACAGACTGGGGTATCACGATTCGATCAAAACAACGTCCTAAGAGACAGAGAGGCAGACCAGAGAGACTTCTAGAAGAGCAATTGATCCACGCCAGGAACGCGAAGACGATACAACAGGGCGGAGCGAACGAGTTGGACGGTCGGTCGAGACCACGGAGAAGCAAGGATCAGCACATTCCGAAAGGCGGAAAATTCGTCAGGTTTGGTTGCCAGTCTTCATCAGCATCATTCAGTTACTGCCATTCACACTTTCGTGCTCAGCATCGCTAGGACGCAACTCCGTTTTCCTCTGGCTGTTCACCATCAGCCAGCATCCTCGGCTCCTTCTGCCTCTTCAGTATCTCCACCTCCACTGTGCGCCGCAGCAGCAGTATTCCCGCTTGCTGACCGCCGCGAACCACCACCATGAGGACCTGATCGCGGTGGGTTTGCACACCGATCTTTGCCATGGGCGATGCGCAAGTTTGCGTAGTCGGGTTTGTTCTTAATTCCGTCGATCGCTTTGATCGCATTCGAGATGTTAGTGAAGTTGACGAATGCACAGTTCCTTTAGGGCGACGTCCATTAATATCCGTTCCATGATACAAATTCAACATGAAAACGCGTACTTCTCCTTGAGGAAATTGACGAAGTTCGATCTCGCCATACTCTCCAAAGTCACGCTTAAGCTTCTCCTCGCTGAAGACTTCGAAGTCCTCGATAGTTGCCTATGTACACATTCCGCGTCGCACCAGAGTGGACTGCAAGTGCAAGTGACGGGGGAAGTGGACCCGAATTCTTGCCCCACCCGATCTTGAGCCGCCGGTTGTTCAGCGTCAGTCCTTGGTAGGATGACACCTGGAAGAACGTAAACGCGGCCTGCAGGGTCCACAAATGTCACGAACTACAAGACGCAGTCGTCAGTCAAGTCGATGCGAATAAAAGGTGAGGCGTTCTCACCGCAATGTGCTTATCCTGCATATATCTCACGCTCTGTAACACGCCTCCACGAATCGCATTACACAAATCCTCCGTCGCAGTCTCAGGATGAATATTCCCCAAATACACCGTTCTGTTCATTCCCTGCATGCCCATTCCAGCAGCGCCGGCAGCAGCAAAGTTCATACCATCCGGAGCAAACGCAGCGTAAGGCGAGAACGAGCCACCGAATGGACTGGCTCCAAATGGGTTTGCCCCAGTACCGGGAGAGAGCGTGGCCGATTGCGCCACGAGAGATTGGGCTGCGGCGGCCTGTGCGGCCTGTGCTGCGGCTTGCTGGGATTTAGGAACATAAGCGCAGCGGTCTTTGCCATAGTTGATACGCTTCCCCGCCCAAGCAGGTTCGGTTGGAAGAGTATTGACAACCTGCCACAACCACTTGAGCAACCTCACCACGAGGGAGGATGTTTCCACGCACCTTGGTAGCGATAGCGATGCTCAGGAAGTGAACAAACCCGATGTTCTTGTCTCGGACAATCTTGACTTGATCGATGAGGCCAAACCGGCTCAAATCATCCCTGAGCTGTTCTTCCGTCATTTCCTCATCCAAGCCACCAAGATAAACGTTCCTGCTTGCGTTGCTCTGCTGAATTGCAAGTTGGACTTGAGCGCTGACGGGAGATGGTTTTCCCCAGCCGATTTTAAGCTCTTGTCCATGAAGAGAGAGCTTCTTGATCGTCGCATCCGCGTGGAAGGCTGCAGCAGTGGCAGCATCAAGGAAAGAAAGGAATACACAAGACTTTTCTGGCAGAACGCGGAATGGACTCGAGTGGGCCAAAGTGCACCAGATTTAAAAGTTCGTCAACAGAGGCCGTCGCAGGTAAATTTCCGACGTAAACAGTTCGTCCTATGAGAGCGTTAGGGGTGCCCGAGAGAGCCGCAGAGAGAGCAGCAGGGTGAGTAAGCCCCGGGGGTCGGTGGGATGTTGACGTTAAGTGACGGGAGACGTGGCTGTTGAGAGAAATTCTGCGAGGACCTTCAAAGTCGAGTTCTAGCACATTTGATGTACACTTACTTGTCCGAAGTTTCCTGATTGACTCGGATATCCAAAGCCGCCCAAGCATCCCAACACTTGGCAGGCCCATGCCCAGCATCCCAGTATCCAAACTGGCCAGCCTGACCCTGACCACCTGCCTGCTGCTGTTGCTGCTGCTGTGCGAAACCGCTGCTGGACATCGGGTGTGGGCTCATCTGTACTTGACCGTGTCCATTTACACCCATTCCCGTGTTGATCGTAAGGGAGGGAGTTGAAGTACAGTGCGTTAGATGTAAACGACGGAGAACCGGCGGGCTGAAAAGCAGGGTTGATTTATGGATGCTTGAGGACCATATCCATAGTTGACAAACGGGTCGCGGGTGGAAGGCGCTGCCGGAATTAGCGGTACCGCCCGTAGTCGTCGAAGAGAGACCACCAGTTCCATTGTATGAGGGTGGTGACCAACGGGCTTTTTTGGCATCAGGGCCTCCGACTGCATCCATAGACCTCTGTACCGGTTGCTTTTGTGAGTCACTGCACTAGATGCGAAGCCAGCCAACAGACCTTCATCATGTCGAGATCAAAGGCGTAAGAAGGGTAGTGAGTAGCGAAAGCTGTTTGAGCGTCGTCCATTGATGTGAATGGGGAGTGACGGGGTCCAAACGAGTGTGTGGTCGGAAGAGGAATGAAGGAAAGTGAATTGGCAACGGCGGAAACGTCGTTGGGAAAAGTTCAACGAATGATGGATAGTAAACCACAGGGCAACAAAAAAAAGGGTAAATGTTAGAGAAAGAGCGAACGCAAATGACAGGTGGGGTAGGGAGCGTGTGTGATATGGACGGATGCGCAAGTATAATCGAGCGTGCAAAAGGGCGTTTTTTTCGACGATCTCTTTGCAACGCCGTGTCTGATGTTCCAAACGAGTGTGATGGTGGTGGTGATGGTGGGGAAAGAAACGAAAGAAAAAAGAAAGAAAGAAAAAAAGCACGCACAACAAACGGGTAGAGTAGGGGGGTACGAGGAGAAGTGGTTCTGCTGTGCCGTATAGATAAAACTTTTTGTATAAACGACAAGGACAAGACCACGACGAGATCAAGACCGACGCCCTGTCAGACACAAAATGAAACTTAGTGCGACGAACTCGACGACGACACCTACGTTAATATACTTGACGACGGCGACGAGGTGGAACGGAAATGAAAGGGGAAAAAAAAATAAGGTAAGACTCGTCAACCAGCCAGTCGAGTGAGTGAAACTGGAAAAAAACAAACGAAACCGGAAACTATCTCGACTTTAGCCGGGCTGTCACTGGCAGTCTCACACATGCAGCCAAAAATTAAAATCTTTATTGTCTACGCGCACGGACCCTCGTCTATCATAGCACTACCTGAAGCTTCTCCCAGAGCCTCCCAGAGCATCTCCTCGTACTCTTCAGCACTTTCCATGTCCTCTTCGTCCAATGCCTCGTCTTCTCTCAGCTCTGCTTCCAGCGTCTCCTCATCTGTTTCACTCGACATCCAATCTGCATCCTCCTCATCCTCGCGGTCCGCAACACGATCCGCACGTCCCGCCGCTTCCCGCATGTATATCCTCGAAAAACAATCCAGCGGATGCAATCCTAGGGCGGGTGGCGGGCGGATGAACGGCATATGTATGTCTCTATGGGTGGATATCATAGGCACGGCCGGATCTTCATTTTCACATCCCTCTCCATCTCTGGACCTGGCGGAGAGGCCGTTGGAACTATTAGAATGATGAGTGGCATCAAATTCATTTTCAGCGTTGCTCGACTCGGCATCATTACGGGAGCAGAATTCGGTAAAGAACTCTTTATGACTTCTGTACCGAACGCTCAGCGTCTCGACCGCATGTTTGATGGCGCTTGCAGTGAGACTCTGCAAGCACCATTAGCATGCTGCCATACATTCACTGCATTGATAAAGTGTACCTGATCACTGGACCTCCACGCCAGGCTGCCCTTCTTGAGCCGGATCTGCCCTTCTTTCCATGCGATCGCACGGCATATGACATCTGTCACAAAAAATACCACGGCAGCTTGAAGGTGCTGAATCAGGGTTACGTCTATAGAAAAGGGTATCTCTTCTTCAACCTCATTAGGTGCTTTCATCGGCTGACGATGACCCATGCTCAAATGCGGTAAACAAACTTTATTCAAGCGTCAGAGAAGGTGAAATGTCAGAAAATACAAAACGATACGCACCCCATCAATCGTGCCAATGCGTTCAAATGTAACAAATCCACCCCCTGGGCACGGAGGTAAGCTGCATCGATATCAAGCTTACTGAATATCGACCTGAGCTTGGGTCGCAATGTCAAACCGCGTGTGAACCGCTTCGCCTTGGCGGGCCCTCCGTCGTCCGACTCGGCGTCCGACGTAGGCGCAGACGACTTCGGTGTCGTTCCTCGCCTTTTGACTTTGGTTTTAGGACCTGCCTTCAAGAGACCTAGGCCCACGCTCTGTCCGATGCCAGCGCTCTCAAATTCGGTCACGCCATAAGAAGCTGCCTCCTTTCCCTGCAATTTGGCCCGACGTCGTCGCATGTAGAGGCGTTTCTGGAGTCGGCGCCGTGATTTCGGAGAAAGAAGGTTGGGGTTTAATATAGCAAGGTCTTCGTTCACCGCTCGAACGCCACTCTGCATAAAATCAGCAGTATCTGGTCGAGTGGCATGTGCTACAGCGGCTTCGGTTAGTGGTGGACCACTCGAGGCCAAGAGGGATCGGTCAGTGGCCACTACGCTTCTGGTGGGGATGGATGACATCGTTGTAGTGATGTTGATTGGGACTGTGTTGTTCAATTATATGAGCCACCTGAAACGAGAAAGCGTAGTGATGAGATAGGGTGTTACCTCCAGAAATTGCCAACAGCTCCGGGTCAATGACGGCATTAGAAGGATCGCCAGCAATCGTTTCAGTCACATTCATTACGGTCTGCATTTCTCGTTCGCGGGCGGGATCGGGAGTGCTCTTCTCCCGAGTTGCAAGGGGCAGGCTCGCACTATCCTGGTTTTCTCTCTGGTTCTTTTCCATCCTCAACAATTCATCATCATCTTTGAGAATAGCATCCAGCGCGCTTAAATGAGCATCTCCGAGGCATGCCAAGTAATCTCCACGTTTCTCCAAGCAGAAGCGCTTTGCAGGAGGCTCATCTGAACTTACAGTTTGCACCTCGCTTGCAACGGTGGATCGATCTCCCTGTGTCCCGCCCACGTGTTCCGAATCGGCGCCCCCCTGTAACTGTGCATCGGCGTCTGAAGCGAATCTCTTTGCACCCCTCCGTCGACAACGAAGCTTAGCCTTAGCATCACCATCAATACGAGGTCTGTGGCGCGGACGCTTCTCCTTTGCCCTTCCTTTCTCCGCAACAAAGGAATTCCGATACCGTTCAAGCAAAGCGGAGTTTTCCCCTTGAACGATGTATGATGCGAGAGCCTCCTCTACCGCCACCCACGCATCCGAAACTTCGTATGCGGGCTCCAATTCCACGTCAGAACCGGAGTCTCCTTCGTCGAAATCGAGGTCCGACAGAGATTCGTCTCCGTTCTCTGCCATGTCTAGGAGCGTAGCACCTTCTTCAAGAGCTATGAGGTATGAGTCGACCTCCCAAACGGTTCGCGTCGGGACAGCCGCAGCGATCAGATCAGGTCGCCAACGCGAGTAGACGGAGAGTGCGCGGAAGAAAGCGTTTTTCTCAGCTGGCGTCCATGGTCTAGATGTGGCCGGTAATTTTCTAGTGCTGCTACATCTTGCTGCATTTCCGGTTGCCAAGCACGAGGACGACGCTCCGTCGTCTGCTACGTCATATTCTGTACCCACAGTGCCGAGTCCAAATTTTTTCCTGAGTCTCTTCCAAGTGCCCCAGAAAGGATTGAGCAGTTTCTGGTTGCATGATGCATAGTAGCGAAGCTTGGGCGCGCGTAATATGTAGGTAGCGGTGAGGTTCAATTGAATCAATTAGTAGTACGAAGGGCGTGACACTAGCGTGACAAAATTTTCTCGACAGGGGCTAATTTACCTAACCCGCTTCACAATTGCTTAGTAATGGCTTAGTATGGATGTTCGTGCGAGTTTATTCAACGGTTCTGTAGTGTAGCGGTTATCACTCGGGATTTTGAATACAATTTCCCGAAACCCAGGTTCGAACCCTGGCAGGACCTAATCCTTTTTATCATCGACAAGAAACGTTTTGCTTTCAGTATGAGAGGGGGCTCAGCGTAATGGACAACGATATTCGCCCTGTGTATGTTTCTCCTCACGGCGGAGCTGCGACTGGAGTCCAACTTTCCAAGTCACTCCTGATCTGTGCGAGATACTGCCACGCTCATTGTCGGACGTCGAGCCCTCAGGGCCTTGCGCACGTATGACCGAAGAACTTAGTGCTCAAGCGCTCAACTGCCAGACTCGGGCTACCCTGCTCCCGGCTCTCCGTGCCCGTCATGTTTCACGTGTCACAGTAGTTTCGGCGTTGTCTGACTGATACGGCGCCACATGGCCTCAGGATGATCAGGAAGTGTATCCCCGTGTCCCACGGCCGGTGCTCGTTGGAGTTGGCTGTCACCTCGTCCCCGTGAGCCCTGCCAGGGCTAACAAGTCTGGTCGTCCCACATCACCTGATATCTCATCCTGGTGCGACCTATGTGCCATCTAAGGGTGAACTGACGACATTACGTGATAACATACCTATTACCAGAAGGCATAATACAGATTTGGACCGCGTCTACAGGTTCATGCGTTTTCCCCGCGCTGTTATCGCCACAGAACATGCAAACATGCATGCAATGCTGTGCTGGCATCCCCACACCGCTCTGTTATTACGATAATCATGACCATCCGTCAGGGCCGTGCCGACAACCTGGGTCGGCAGCTGCCAAGATCCTCGGGGGTTTCAATCAGTACTTAGTTCAGGACACCAGGCTTGGAGACCTCGGAAGCCTCGCGGAGGGGCTTTGGTGTGGTGATGCGAATCAGAACTTACTGGAAATATGTCCCTAATGTCGGTCGTTTTGGAATTCATTCATATGTAAGAGTGTAACGGTTGCGGCCTCCCGGTTGCAACGAACCTTGTTGCGGGCAGGTCTACGCATACTACCTGCTGTAATGCCGCACCTTCTGTTTCATTGTCGGAAACTTAAAAGAATGCTTGTGTTGCGAGACGACTCACGTATGAGATTGTGCATGTCGCTGTACAGGGTGTGTATGTACCGCACGATCGACCGCCGCGCAGGCTCCGATATTAAGACTGGGGCATTTCATGTCTGCGGAATTCGGTTAAGCCGTATCATTGGAGGAAGCGAGAAACACCCCAGCAGCCTGGTCTCACTGTAGTCTACTACATCATCGTCTTTGACTTTTTGAGCCCTTTCGAAACGCCCATTTTGACTTGAAGAAGGGCAATCGAAGCCGAAGAAAGCTGTGAACGTTATCATCAAAAACGGGTTACAAAACGACCGAGAATGCAGGTGTCTTCTGTTCCATTTCCCCTCCTGCTACTGACTTGCAGAGACAAGTCGTTGCTGTTGCACAGACCCTGTCGCTTGTCGCAAGCAGCTGACGATAAGTTATTAGCGACCCACCTCCGGAACGGACATCCAACCGGCATCAGCTGGATCTACTTTAGGCCTGGCTATTTATCATACAACCACGCGGTCCAACGTCTGTATTACACAGATTCAACGTGGTCGCCATCCGGATCGGTTCAAACTTAGGCTCTGCGCGTCTAGGTTACATTTCTACCGGAACTCTAGAAAGATTACAGCACAGGAAGGGACCAGCACTCTGTGGCTGAGAACTCCAACGTTCACAGGTTCAAGGGTATCGTTCCATTCGGGATCGATCGCTTTTTGTCGGTTAGCACGACTTCCGGTGACGGAGAGACGACTGGACGACGGCAATAAGCGACTATGAGCTTTGGCATGCACGGAAATTTGGGTGTCGAGTATGACGGCGACACGCGGATCGGGGACGTTGACGGGGAGGTGTGGGCGTGTCGCGATAAGACCCCCGCTTCAGTCCAAGGGGGTGAAGGGACTAGTGCAGCGGCGGGTGAGGTTAACGAGAAAAGGCACAGCCCGGGTCTTCTTGAAGCAGTCAAGAACGAGTGGGCAGAACGACGGAAAGGTGGTGAACGAACAGCACCCGATGAAGATCGTTCACAACCCAAGCAGCGACCCTCCTCGCCTCGTTCTCGCCGCGTGGGCATCGTCTTTTCACCTCAAAATTACAAACGCCCACACTCCCTGCTCGACTTGAAGGACGCAGCTCGTATCTGCGGCAATTGCAGCCTGAGCTCCAACGACATCTGCAATAGTAGCCCCACTCCTACTATTGCTAATCCTCCGGTCATTCCTCCTCGCTCTCCACTTCGACCAATCTCCTTACGCTACCAAGAACTTCAGGATCCCTCAAACACCGCCCCGGCTCCTACCCCGGCAAGTCAGCTCATAAATTTGGACGTACCGCTTGACACAGACGCCCGTGGTCACCAAATGGACACCGTACAATCTTTACGCACCTCAAAAGAGATGCTTCGGAGACACAGCTTGGGATCACTCACTGCCATCCTTGATTCGCTCGCCGCGGACCCAACAACTTTCCACGACAAAGAGTTGCCCTTGCCACCAGACTACGACGACGATCTCTCTAGAACTACTCAAAGTGATAGCGACGAGGACGATTCAGACCCAGACGTTGACCCGGATTCACCCAGCGAAGTTCTCGCACAGGAACTTGGTGTCTCCGTTAGCCCTACGCCCCCTGCCGACGCTGTCACCCTCAACTCCGGTCAACACACTGTCATGACCAAACGAATGCACGCGCTCTTTGAGTTGCTGTCATCAGAACGCGCTTATGCGTCTGATCTCGCTCTGATCCGTGATATCCACATCCCACTTGCACTAGGCAGGCATCCCTTTGTAGTTTTAGTCCATTTTTAGTGTCTCATGGTCTCTGCACAGGTCAACCACCGCCATTCAGTCCAACTGGGTCTGGGAGCCCGCCGCTATTCCCATCTGGCTCAGGATCTGGCTCATCATCACGAACAGTCTCAACGGCATCTGACTCTTCCAGCGTCATCATCACAGCTTGGCCCTCCCATGTCACGGGAAGACGTACGGACACATCTTTGGCAACATCGAGGACCTTGCGGTCTTTGCCGACCGCTTTGTAGGTCTCCTGGAAAAGGCGATTGGTGGTGCCATAGACAACGGAAATAGTGACGATAGGGTGGGCACCTTGTTCCTGGAGATAGTACGTGACATTTTGTCTTTGCAATCTCGTTCATGGTAACCTCTTTACTTACCATGTGCAGATCCCGTCTCTAGAGCCCCCTTACAAAACATACATCACTCGTCATCCGACTGCTTTGGCCCACTTGAACTCCCTTCCCCCGTCTCCGGCCTTATCTGCTTATCTCTCCCAAACTCGCACGCTTGCCTCATCTCTGACTCACGCATGGGATTTGCCTTCTCTGCTCATCAAACCCGTGCAGCGGCTCCTCAAATATTCACTTCTCTTGGGAGCTATTATTGACGCAACGCCTGACAATCATGGAGACCGTGCGGCCCTTGTTGAAGCCAAGCAAAAAATGGAAGACGTGGCACGAAGCGTCAATGAAGAACGCCGACGGTGGGAGGTCGTTCGCGAAGTCCTTGGCGATTCAGCTTTCCAAAACACGAATGGGAAATCCAAGAAAGGTTCCAACGGTGTCAGCGTGGGAATGGTTATGACCGGCACGGCCCATCTTGGTCGAATGAAAACCTTACGCCCGTCCAAAACGAAAGAGATGGCTGAAACTGGAATTGATAACGCCGAAGCAGTGGAAGTCGCTCGCTTGGAATCTGAGCTCCAGCGATATGCCGCGTTTTTTGACAGACTCGCAAGGGATGTCAGGGAATGGCGGGATACTATGGAAGTGTCATTGTTTGCTCTGCGTCAATGGGGCATTGCGTTTGGTGCTGTCTTGGGTCTTACGCCTTCCCCGTCCGCTCTAAACCCAGACCTCATACCCGATTCACCAAGTGGACAGGCAATCGACACATCAGATCCTGAGATACGCTCAGAAGCATATGATGCTTTTACAAGTTTGCTATCCTCCCTCCCGCCGCTTTGCGATGTGTTTGACGAGCGCCTAAGAGAGAGATTCATACCAGTTCTGTGCGAGCTCAAGGCCATGCTTGAACCCCCTAAAAAACTCCTGAGTGCCATGCACGCACTTACTCCCTTACACGCTGCCCTTCTCCACACCCCCTTCTCACCGTCCAAGGGCCGCCGACCTGCACAAGCCCTGCTAACCGCCTCGCAGTCATATCTCGCGCTCCGCTCGGCGCTTGCTGCGGAGCTTCCGTTGCTCCTGTCTGCTCTGAAACGAGCGACTGCCTTTGCAGTACGTATTCTCGCCGACGAACAAGCCAACTTGTACGTTATGATTGCGGATCGTTGGGCCGAGCTGTGGGATGCGCTGCGTGTAGATGGGGAACGATGTGGTGGTTCCGAGGAAACGTTACGCGTCTGGTGGGAGCGGTGGAGCGAGGTTGAGGAGCGTCTGCCTAAGTTGAAGATTACTCGGCGAGAGAAATGGTGGGCGGAGCGGGAACGGGAACTCAAGGAAGGTCGTGACTTCAGGAGTGAAGCCCGAGACAAGTCCAGAGATGCCAATCGGGAGAGGCAGGCAAGAAAAGCCGGTGTGCCGGCGTCCGGGTCCAGTGCGACTGGGTTCGATTCCCAGATCGTTACCGTGCAGTCGTCTCCCAACTCCCAAGCACGACGTCAACATCATTCCCATGTCTCCAACAGCACCCCCACCTCGGACAAGCGCCGCAGCGGAAGCAGTGCTGTTACACCACCACCCCAAGTAATACAACGGCGACCCTCGGATGAGTCTTTTCGCTCGGGGAAATCTGGAAAATCGTCCGGCTATGGTGGTAGATCAGGTAGAAATAGCAGAGTGGACGATGAACCACCCGTACCCCGGCTAAAACCCAACTTCGTAGCGAGTTATTCCAATGGTCCCCAACACAGAAAGAGTGCACCAACTATTACTACCTTGCGCACCTCCGCGTCCTCCACCTCACAAACTTTAGCCGACGTCGACGCAGGTTATCCACCCTCACCGCTTTCACGTGATGTGTTTGATGATGACGAGCAAGACAGGGGGCGAAGCCAACGCCGCCCAAGTTTCAAGAGTAAGATCACAGACCCATTCAAGCCAGCCCATCACCGCCGTCGATCCTCCTCTGTCAAATCGCTAGGCGCGCCGTCTTCCCTCGCTGCCTACTCGATGGACATACCACTTCCTTCCTATTCTCCCTCCGCTCAATTTGCACATCATGCAATTCATTCAACGTCGACCCCTACTTCGCGACCACGAGCATCCCCCACCCTCGCAACCACTCGTGCTCTTTACACGACCCGTGTCATCCATGCTTGCGAACCACCACCTGGTGTCTCATATCGCGGACTTCCTTTTTTTACACTTGAGTACGGTGACATGTATGATGTCTTGCGGGAATACGGCCATCCCTCGACGCATGCAGATTTGCCGTTGTATGTGGACGATGGTGAGGATTGCCTCTTACTTGTGCGGGAGCGAGCGAAGGGGAACGGGAACAGTGAAGGGAGTGAAGTGGGCTGGGCGCTGGCGAGTTTCTTGGTCCCTGTCGACTAGACGAGGCGTTGCACGGTGACTCCGCATGTTTCTCAACATGAACTTCTGATCTTGATTTTTTTTTCTTTTCATTTCCATCTCTTCATTGATCTGGACCCTCCTTCCCCCGAGTCATTCTCTTTCCATCTTTCCCATCGTCGCCATCACTTGAGCTACACCTTCCCCCCGCAACTGACGAGATTCATGGTTACTGCATATGTAAACTTTTACTAATCGGGATGTGAACAGCATTGCCTTCCGCTTCCACGATATCCGCTCCCGTTTAGCCTATCACCAAGTTGTTTTCGGGCTTACCGTGCCCCCCTTTGTTAGTGTCCATGTACTTATACCTCAGAATGTACTTAGAGGACACATTATCGGGACAAAATATAATTTAGTGCTCCGATCCAGGCAGACGTTGGCAACGGGAGCAACAAGGTGAACAGAAGAAAGTGGCAAAGGCAGTTGAGGTCTCAGCCTAATACACATCGACAGGTGGCTCGCTTTGTTTAGTCTAGCCGCACTTGCATGCAAGGGCCAGGTCCTCCAAGGGCCATAAACGAGTATTCAAAAAAAAAAAAAAAAGTCTAGCCGCAGGCGGGCCGTTTTGTAGCATAGCGATGTAAGTACTTCGCACACTGACCAGCTCTGGATGGGAATGTCTAATGAAAACGAAGATGCACTGTCGCATTCACGATTTCTTTTCTAGACCCAGTGTGCATCGTCCTATCCGACGTGTTGGCGTGGACGTGAACGCCCCCCACCCCCCCCCCCTTCAAGTCTGATGATAGTGAGCGTCAGGGACGAATTTCCGACTTGATCTCTCAATTCCCTCTCTCCCATAGGTTGGCCTAGATGGGTCTGGCCAAAGCCACCATGGCCTATAACCTGCCCTGTCGCCTCGGCTTGCACCTTAATCGGCGTATGGACATTGCATGAACCCGGCCCGGGTTGGTTGAACTTTAAGTTCATTTTTTATTCACGTCCCTGATCCAGTTTCATTCTTCGACTCAACTATTCCACGAAGACATTTGGTCAGGTACTCTAGCCCGATCATCGCCAGGTAATTGTTGCTTAGGTTCGGCCAAACATGAGCATATAAGAGGGAAGCCCCGTCTCTTAGATCTGCTTCTGCTCCTCTGGAGTTCCGTCTAATCGATCTTTGAATATCGCAACGCGTTCCGCACCTGTCTGCAGAATAGCCAATTGGATTGGCTAGGAAAACGGCAGCCGAATAATTTTTTCTTGCTCCGTTGGCTGTTAGCCGTGAACCATGCGCGCCATTTCACGAGAAGAGCCTTACGGTTTGTTTCTTCGCCTCACGCTCCACATTCCCCTCGACAACCCCCATCCGATACTTCTTGGGCAAGGGTTCACCGATCATAGCAAATAATCTCGAATATGTTGAAGTTCCCAAGTCTGGTGATGCTCCTCCCTGCCATACCTTTGGTTAATTCCTTCCCTCCCGTAATTTGTGTCAAGCCGCGACTACCATCAATATCTGTCAAAACGTGTCCACCCACGTCGCCGCCGAATTGTGCTAGGAATAACTCTTAGTATCAGCGGGACGGCATATTTGGTCGTAATAAGATGGAACGATGTGCGAGAAGACACAGCCTACCTGCAGTTGTTTCATGTTTGCGGCCCCAGGTGGGATGCGGCAGGTGAAGTGTCTACAGCGGATATCAGTTCATGTCCAAAAATCAAATGACTGCCGTCCATCATCTGGATGTCTCCGGGGATGCTGAACTTCTACGACACTTTCTCCGTGGTGATCGTCCACCAGGCAAGCCTACGTTGAAACGCAGCTCTTTCTGGCAGCGTCGACATACTCAATGCACCTTCCGGTTCCTCAAGACAGGGATGAGTCGCCTATCACATCTGATTGGTGAACCATACCTATGCAAATGCGCCGTTCGTTATCCTGTCTCCATCAAGCTTTCTATACTTAATGTGATTCATGTCAGCAACATATTACAAAACCAATAACACGACAGTAAAGTGCAACTGTGGTTGCAAGCGTCCATCTCAACGAGGCCAGAATTAAATGACAACAATCGCGGCGAAAACATTACAGGCATGGCAAAATAATAACATGACGAATCCAAGAAACCAAAAGTCAGGTGAGCACATCAAAGACTAACCATTTCAGTTACATGCGCTGATCAAATCCGGATATGCTCTGGTTCATGTTCGTTGGGCTCGACGAGTTCGCCCTTATCATTAAGAGGCCAGAACGAATTTTTAAAGAAGTTAGTGGGGTCGTACATTTTCTTCACGCTAATAAGCTTCGCCCAGTTCTCTCCAAAGCATGCAATGACGCGGCTCGGAGATTCGCAGCGGCCTAGGAACTGGTAATACGGTTGGACTACCGCCCCCTGAGTCATCAGTTTGGAAAACGCTTACGCTTGGGAGCGGACCGCCAATTGCGACGGGAGCAAGCGTCTCAAAAATCCACTGCCAGCGGCTATCATCAGCTTGTGATTACATCCATGCAAGAGATAGTCTGACCTCTTCGGCGGACGTAACACACCGGGGATCCTTAAAGTTTATGTCCCACTGGTGAAGCGCGGTAACGTTGAATGCCGCTTCCCGCTGACTCTTTGGTAGGCAGCTGTCCTTGGTGTCGGTTATAGCGCCTCCGGACGAGTTCAAACAACCACGCTACAACGATGCGTTTTGTGAGTATGTGAAGGGGAGAGTTGATTAAACCGAAAACTTACTGCAACCAACTGGAGTTTCTGCGAATTGTACCACAGTCTTATTGATGATTTCGTCAGGAAGCGAACAGATCAGAGTCGATCGAATAAACCACTTATTCCCGGCTGATAAACAAATGTGTGCTAGGTAAACAGCTACATGCGAAAGATATGAATGCCTCACCTTTGCCTCGAAGGACTTGAGCAACGCTGTCTTGCTGGTGATGGAATGTCTTCTCGTCTACCTCATTGAGCAAGCAACGTTCACCATCCCAAGAGGAGATCGCCTGAAGGAACTCGTTCCCTTTAACCTTTGGGCCAATATAACACATCTGAACCACGACGAGAGAATCCAGGCCAGCAGGCCCAGCCGTGAGTAAGACATTGGCAGTATAATTCTCGTGGAGCTCCTTTGACGCAATCGCGGAAATGCTTGATGAGAGATGGCGCCGTGGCGCGATGGAACCGGCTATGGGGAATAGTTAGGTGTGGAAGGAGAGTATAGGGGTTGGACGTACTAGATCAAATTTCCAGCAAACACGACAGGGACAGGATAAGCGAGTGCTTTGTAACGAGTAACGATGCCAAACACGGAACCAGCACCGCGCAACGCCCACCAAAGATCTGGTACGAACCAATGAGACAAGGCTGACAATAGCAATGGCAAGACGACTGTAGATTACCCGGGTGTTCATTCTCGCTAGCAATCACGACCCGGCCATCAGCCAATACTACCTCTGCCTCCACAAGGTTGTCGATACTAAGGCCATGAAGTCGTCCGAGGAAACCGAAGCCCCCAAGAAGCATGACAGCGGACCCCACAGGGTGTGCGGCACTGGGATACCAAGGTTAGATCCCAAGAAATATCCAGTAGACCAACAAAAGCTCACAAGGGGACATAATATGGTACAGCGCCACGTCCTCCAGCGAGCGAAATGGCTTCCAAAGGATTCGCGGCGGAAAATTGATCGACGTCCTTTTGTCTCATACCTGCCCCGAATGTAATGAACGCATGAGAATAAAGGGGCGTGGCATAACTGAGAATATTCTGTGAGGAGTCAAGGAACGTGGGACTAGCGAACAGAGAGTTTGGTATCGACTGAGCCAGTTGAGACGTCGACGGAACAGTAGCAGGTTCATTACCGGGCCCTTCCTCGAGATATCCAAAAGGATCAGCGTCAATGACGGAGGAAGGCTCCGGATGAGAAACGGGGGGGGATGGTGGTGGGATAGGGGCTGTAGAACTTCCTTTTATCAGGTGGGAAGCACATGAACCCCTCGATACTATCGGCGAAGCGGGATGAACAAAAGTCACAGTAGCATTACAATCAGGAGCCGGGCCCTCCATCAAGGCCTGCGGGGCAGCACCTCGGTTGGCAAAGGGAAAGGGGGTACTTGAACTGATGCAGTTGACAGGGCCTCTAGACCCCAGTGAAATATCTCCTTCCTGATGGAGGAAATCCTCCACCCTTTGAGAAGCTAAAGCACAAGTATACTGCCTCGCGTTCTCCCTCCGGTGTCTTCCGGTCCAATCGTGGTCGGTTACTAGTGGTGCAACCTTATCCTTCCCCGTGCTCCCGGCAGGCGGCATATCTTGGATGCTGGTGAAACCTCCACTCGCGGTAGGCGCCTCGATTTCGACCTGATTGAACCTGAGGAGGTCCATGATGATATCTCCACAAACGGCCCAACCAGCCGTTCCGTAACCCCCCGCCTTTACAGAGAGCGAGAGGTCATGCTTTCGGCAAAAAAGAATCACGCTGTAGATGAAATGGCGTCAGTGATGCATCACACCCATTCGGTTCCATGGCTTACTTGCTGACATCCTGTACATCTGATGGACACACGACAGCAAGAGACGTGACCTTGATGTCGCCGTTGAACATCTTGGAATAGTTGGCAAAACTGCAGGATATTCGGTATAACGTTCCAGAGGGACGCAATGCCGCACTCACTTTGGGTTACCCCGGACATATATATCGCCCCGGAAGGAAGCAGAAAGTTTAAGGTATAGGTCTGGGGCGAGACTGGGTTGGGGAACAACTAAGACTGATACTAGTCTGCATGAAGGTCAGGGAGTAACGAACAGGAAAATATAAAATTGTGTAAAGTCTGGCAGGGGGGATACGAAGAGTGCAGGACGGCCCTGCCTCTTTATAAGGAGAAGGAGGAGCAGAGTGGCTTTTATAATTACGCCTTTGATTTGCAAATTTCAAGTCACCTTTCTTTTTTCGCAAGTCGTTACCACACCGCAGAGCACCTCAGCGCATGGCAAGGCGATGAGGATTAATGGGCATGCCTGAAGCGGGAGCTGGCGAATTTGGAAAGGCCATCGATCCAGAAGTCGCGGAACCAGAACGCTCCAGCGGCACATTTTCTCGGCACGACCCTCTCCACTCGGTGTCAGGCACTTCCCTAGACTTGACATTGAGCGAGGCAGTGTCACTTTGGCAGACCTGGGTACTCTTTTCTTGTCGGAGTGGTCAAACTTAGACCTGATCATACCTTGATTTCGTTAAGTTATTTTAACCTCGCAGTACCTGTCGACGCTTACGTCAGCCCAGTTTCTGTGCGAATAAACCGACTTTTACCGGCTTGGAGGCTCTCTGAACACATATGGCACCAGACCCACTAATAGAAGCAACGGACGAACAACGTTCATTCTCCCGAGATCCACGCTTAATCCATAACCCCCTTTCACGACGTTAGGAAACCCTCTTCGATTAGGGTAAGTTCATCGCGGTAAGTTATATCATTCACCTCTTATAGTTTCCCGTAAGCACCACCAAGTACATCTTTCAAATGAGCCAGGGGTTTTGTGAGATGACACGCAATCGTACCGTCGCCGAGCCGTCCAACTCGTGGTAGTACAAACTTTGCTATTCGAAAGTTCTCGCAACCGTCCTTTGTAACAGCGTTGGTTTTCTGAGATGTCGATCTTCTCGCGGCGACTGGCCAGCCTGGAGTATTTGTGGATGATCGACCGATCGCAGTCTCCGATGATGATGACCCTCGATAAGTGACACCACCACCACCACCACCCGTCACTATTACTCTCTTGCCTGGTATGTCATCGTCGTCCACAGATTTCCTACTAGATCCTGTCACATCTAAGCACTGTTTCAGCCCATCCCACTCTCATATATGTATAACAAGTGACAAACTCAGAGGGTGCGGAAACGTGTGAGCTGCGAACACGTGTTCTGCCGATACTGGTAGGTCCCCGTCTGACTCTCCACTGCGATCCACATACGGTGCCCAGTGGCTTCCCCCGCATAGCCTTCCTGCCGTTATCCACGGGGAGCTAATAGGGCACTCGATAATAGCTGATAGCAGTTACTATTTACGCGGGGTGAAAAGCTACCGATCAGGCTTCGGACCGGGAAGTCGCTGCGGGGAACTCGGGCTAACGGACTATACCATTCAAAACCTGCAGGCCTGGATTTCCAAGCCTTCATCACATTTACTGCGGCTGTTTCGGAATCGGGTTATGAGTTGCCGGAAACATCTCTGCGATCTGTAGCGGGTAAAAAGGCAAATGAATTGTGATAGAATGTTATCGCCGTAGTTTGACCCGTTCCATCCAAAGTCGACACTGCCTCATCAGTAAGCGAGTGTGGTGCTCGCCCCCATTTTTCCCTCCGGACAGTGACCCAACACCCGCTCCACAACTCAAGCACATGAGTGAGGAACTGAGGGTATTGGGGCTACCCACAGCTAATGGCTGCGGCTCCGAGGTCGGTTGTATTAACTCTTAAGGCTCTGCGTCAACTGAATGATATATTCCATCGTGTAAGTTCATCACACTCGGATGTGTACAGGAAGGACACTGCATTCTGGGGTGTCTACCCAGTGGTGTCTGTCATAATGGATTGAATGATACGGCAACGAACTGGTATCCTATGGCATCTCAAGTCAGGGGTTATCGTTGTCACTTCGTTGTCTCCCAATGGCCTGTGCACCTGGAAGTGGTGGTGTCATTTGTTTGAATATGTCAGATGGAGTGTGGGCCCCCGCGAAACCCAAGCAAATGTGGCGACACTCGGCTATTACTGAAGTGACAGGTCTCCAGCCAAATGGCCCATTCAAACGCAAGTAGCATAACTGTCGTCAAACCACTCTCCCCATCCACTGAGGATCCGTGGGTACGCCATCTCCTGACAGAACGAGAAGTTCGTTCTGGTTGTGCAAGGGGAAGCTACATGAGTACTATTGGATTGGCATCAGAAGTGGCCCGCGGTCGGATCACCTTGAATACACATTTGTGACCAAAGCAAAAAAACGACTACGTATGTACTATTAGTGATCGCAACGGTCCAGCTGAGCATGGGTAGGCTTCCTGTGAGATCATGATGGACCTCGGGGGTGATTATGACTTGACCTCATACACCTCACAGGCTAGTACTTACTGTAACATACAATTGGTGGCCCATAATGCTAGAGATAGAGATATACGTACTTGCCTATCTCTGTGGTGCCGGCGTTAAGGAGACACTGGGAGGTGGAGATGGGAACCATCGACGCACGCGATGACGCCAGACTGGTAGTTCTGCCCATGCTTATTGTTCAACTAGCTTGTACATATATAGTTGGACCTTCTTACCTCCGCTGAGGTCGGATTCCACGTTTCGGCTCTTCGGGGCGACACGCCTTTGATACCTACTTCGTCATGGACGTCGAACGTGACGCGCATGACGAACGCCAATCAAAATTTTGTAAAATATGAAGGGCTGGGGCCTGAGGGATCTAGGGTTGAGCCTCTCCGTGGCATAACGTGTTGCACGCTTTAACTTGTTAGTACTTGAAGCTTGAAGGCTTTTTTTCAAACGACAAAGTACCCACCTCAGCGTGCTTCGTGGTCAACATGAAGTCTATCCTCGACAGCCGTGTTTTGAAACAGATACATGTCGGAGCGAATCGGATCAGTTGGTATGATGATATGATTTTTTTTGACAATTGAACATGTTTACCTCAACAGTTTCCGCGGTTAAAGAGAGGGTTCCCGGTTGAACGTGTATCCCTCGTGATTTGACCTCCCTCTTTTTTTTTTTTTTTTTCTCTACATCTCTCGTCCCTGGTTGCCGACGCCAGCGCACCACCCCGAATTTCTAACATATAAATAAAGCAGAGAGTCTGCCGTGTTTTTCTAACCTCAGCACTCGTTTTCTCTCGATTCTTTCGTTGTTTCGTTGTCCTACGGTGTCTTTCACCTCCGGCGTGCTCTAGAGTTATCATACTCTTTGCATGTACTCGAACCAACTAAGCAGCACTCATAACCCCCATAGAGGATCGAAACACTCCTCCGCTGGTTTCCTTGCAGCTCATTGAATAATCCAAAGACGAACGCCGCTCTATCAAAATGTCTATCACTCCTGCGAACTCTTCTGGTTACGATACTCCTGTCTCTGACTTGGAGTCTATCGTCCCCGTCCACCCAACTGCTGCCCGTCGTCCCAACTACATCACCGTTCAGTCCGAGAATACGGTCTATACAAATGATCATATCACTGCCAAATACTCTTACCGCGGCGCTGACGTTGTTGTATCGGATGGTCAGTTCACTGTCACTCCTACTGTGAAGCCTTTCGAGTTCCAGACCGAGCGTAAGGTTGGGAAGACAGGGTATGTTATCACCATTCGTTCTACGATGCATGTCAGTGAACATTTTTTTTCGTGCAGGTTGATGATGATCGGTATGGGTGGTAATAATGGCACTACGCTCTGTGCCACTATCTTGGCGAACAAGCATAATATCTCGTGGCACACCAAGGAGGGTATTCAACAACCTAACTATATAGGTTCCGTCCTTCGGGCATCTACGGTGCGCATTGGTACCGAGCCAAGTCACTGGGAAGGAAGTGCACCTTCCTCTTTCGGACGTCCTTCCTATGGTGCACCCTAATGATCTAGTTCTTGGTGGGTGGGATATCTCCGGTGTGCCTATGGACAAGGCTATGGAACGTGCCTGTGTGCTCGACTACGATCTTCAGCGCCAGGTCGTGCCCCATATGGCCCTTCTTGGTCGTCCTCTCCCTTCCATCTACTATCCCGATTTCATTGCAGCCAACCAAGAGGCCCGGGCTGACAATGTGATTCCCGGTACCGATAAGCAGGTTCACCTTGAACACATCCGGTCCGACATCCGTCGTTTCAAGGCAGAAAATAGTCTGGACCGTGTTGTCGTGTTCTGGACTGCCAACACCGAGCGGTACAGCGACATCGTTCCTGGTGTGAACGACACAGCGGACCATCCTCCTTGCAGCTATCCGATCTTCCCACTCTGAAGTCTCGCCTTCTACGCTTTTCGCGGTCGCTGCCATCCTCGAAGGGGAGCCGTTCGTCAATGGTGCTCCCCAGAACTACCTTCGTGCCTGGTGTCATTGAACTTGCTGAACGTTACAAGTCTTTCATTGGTGGGGACGACCTGAAGTCGGGCCAAACCAAACTCAAGTCTGTCCTTGCTGAATTCCTTGTGAATGCTGGCATCAAGCCTCTTTCCATCGCGTCCTACAACCATCTTGGTAATAACGATGGACACAACTTGAGTGCGGAGCGTCAGTTCAAGAGCAAGGAAATCTCTAAGAGCAGCGTCGTGGATGATATGGTAGACGCCAACCGCTTGCTTTACAAGCCACCCTGCACCAGGTGCTACTGGTAAAGGGGCTAAAGGCGAACACCCCGACCACATTGTCGTCATCAAATATGTGCCTGCAGTTGGGGACTCGAAGAGAGCTATCGACGAGTACTACTCCGAGATTTTCTGCGGCGGAAGACAGACCATTAACATTTTCAATGAGTGCGAGGTACGGACCCTTCAGTGACTTGCTGCTCATCTGTTAGCTTATCTCGGCCATAGGATTCCTTGTTGGCGACGCCTCTGATTCTGGATCTGACCATCCTCACCGAGCTTTTGACCCGTATCAAGTATCGTGATTTGTCGGTGGGCCAGGTCAAATTTGCTCCCTTGTATCCAGTTCTGTCGCTCCTTTCCTACATGTGCAAAGCTCCATTGGTCAAGCCAGGTATATAGTGGCTGTCACCTTTCTTACCACGTCCGCTAACTTGTTTGCTCTAGGTACCGATGTTGTCAACAGCTTGGGCAGGCAACGCAATGCGCTTGATGCCTTCCTTAAGGCCTGTATCGGTCTGGAGGCCAACGGTGACCTGCTCCTCGAGACTCGTATCTGGTAAAGATTTGTAAGGTCGAAGTGGGTTTAGGATATTATCAACTCGCGATAGATACACTAACGGTACAGTTTCAACAACTGTGCATCTCAGATATGTATGATAGACATTCAACTGTACGCGTATCTATCTTGTTCAATTTTGTTCGTGCTGCGTTGCCAAATCGATGATTCTAATTCTTGCGCCACATTATCCTTCATCGATGAGGAAATCTTCGATTCTAGAGGCTTTCAAAGACAGGAAATTTTTATGCACCAACGTACTTTTGCCCTATGCAGACGTGGAATAAGTCCGGAAGAGGACTGGGGATTACCACTCACGTGCCGAGCGTTTGCCGAGGCGGAGCTTTTCTGCGGGCTCTGAAATAAACTGCGAGTCTTGGAGTGACAGCTGGTGGATGCCGACTTACGGTTTGACCACGACTGAACGGTAAGAGATATTGTACGCCATTCGACTAGCATATCGGGATGTGCTCCATCCGTGATCAGTATGCAGATCTGATCAGGTTCACTTAGCGGCTACTCTCGGAGAGTTCCGTCCCGGCATGAGCAGCTATCCGACTATCGAAGCACAGCCAACGGTCAGATCTGCCACACCAGGCGTTTAACCACTGTATCGTCAGTAGGCAATTGGATTCCTTCAATCTCATTGCTTTGAGAACTGTGGTAGGACCGAGTGTCGGACAGGCCGCCCATATGAACTTCCAGACAGCCATTTGACCAATCCTGTATGAAACAGGGGGAGCAAGATGTTCTGGTCCGGGTGGCAGCAGAGAAATCTAGTACTCTTACGCAACTTTTCGTACTTCTTTCGTTTACAAGTGTTTGCTCCTCGATCCACAAATCTGAATCTCGGTTTAATTAGCACGCTCCACGGATACATATGCATTGTTCGATCTCCGGACGTCTTACAACGCAATCAAATGAGGCAATTAAGAAAGGGGGAGAGTGATACAACTGAAAGTTTTGGGTCTCAGAGTGTATGACAAATCTTACCAATCTTCCATTGTGTAAGAGAAGACGAATGCAAGGAACAGCTTGGATGTATAGTTGGTAATACGTACCACTGGTAAAGCCATTATTTTCAATCATCACTCGTCCCGATTCCGTGGAGTGATGGAAATAGCGAGCGGTAGTTGAACTCCACGAGTAACCTCGCCTTCCACGGTAGGCACCATCACAAGACACGATTCACGCCGAATTCGCCTCGCTTTCTCGGTGAGGGATATCTCGAATTTGCGAACAATCTCCACTAGGAAAGCTTGGATCTCGATGACCCTGCGAAAAGGTCACCATGGACATCACATAATGCTCAGTTAGACACCACCTAGAATAATTGGTGGTGCTTACGCGAATCGCCAACCCAGACACGCGCGGTGGCCACCACCGAACGTCAACCTAGGAAAAAGGGGCAAGGTCAGAAATACGCCGGTTAGTCGTATGCAAAATACAGGGGCTCACAGGCTCGAGTATACTCCGGTGGCAGCTTCTTTTTTGTCCTTGGCAATGCCATCCAGCCAACGGCCTGGATTGAACACGTCAGCGTCCTCACCCCACATGTCCTTGTTGCTGTAATGTCTTCAGTACGTGTTCCGGGTAGAAGAAGTGGAAAGAACAGACCGATTGTATGCAGCGACAGATGCTATAATGCGAGTCCCTTTCGGAACGAGTACCTCATACATTAGTTCACCTGACTCCGTCGTAATAGGTCGAGAAAGGGGCAAAATACAGTCCTGAGAAGCCACGCGGAACACTTGCGCTGCCGCACAATGATACCGCAAAGCTTCCTATTATTTCCAAGGTGAAAGCGATGTTGGCTGGGTTATTGCATCGAGATGTATCAATGGGCGCTTGCCTTAATGATAGCATTCAAGTACAACATATTGTCCAAGTCGGATGCTGTGAACTGCGTGTCGCCACGAGCATGAATGGCAGACTCGTGTTGTGTTATCTCCGATCTGAGTCTCGACTGTATCTCTGGTTTTCGTGCTAGTTCCAGTAAGGTCCAATTGATAGTATGTGAGGTCGATTCTTGACCCGCAATAAGAATTATACTACGACAGGTGTAAGCTGAGAAAAATTCCTTGGCAACTGAGCCCTACCGCATCTGCGAGTATAACTCTTCATCGCTTAGCTTGTGTTTTCGCTTCAGCATCCATGTTTGCTTTTACTAACAAAAGATAGATATCGTCACTTGGGTCATGCATACCATGTCGTACTCACCAAGTAGCGTGAAGATATCCCTGCCTCCCTTCCCCTGCAAGAGAAACTCTGCCTTCTCTTTCACCATGCTTTCTGCAATGGCAGTGGCGACTTTTCTCGTTTCGCGGATACGTACGACACGACGATTTGAGCTGTGCTTAGCCCAGTATGTTAAGATCGACGTCGGGATATACTTCAAAGCTTCCTGGATGAATATTTGTATTGAAGAAGGGGTGCCATAAACATTCATTCTGCGTACAAAAGTTGAGTATCAGGCAGCCCTGGCCTCTCGAGGGGAAACGACATCGCGACTTACAACATCCCATTGTAGCTTTTCGCCAGTGCATTGTCGGAATTCCGAAGGCAGCCCAACCGGATGTCGAAAGCAGCTAATTCAGAAAGGTGAAAGTAAGTTCTGAAGATGGAGATGACAGTGGCGATCACGCTCACCCTCTGCTATGGCATCTAAAGTAGCTCGGGAGATCCAACTGGGGATATCCAGGACAACCTTGTCGCCGTTATTAGCCTCGATAGTTTCGCTCCATGTCATGCTCAACTTGATAATGGTTCACTATTGACCTTGGCCGAGAACCCAGGAACTTACACGTTCAGCAGAAGCTTGCGATATGACTAAGAATGCCCGTGATTCAGCTCCGCCGAAGCCTGGATTCAATATCTTTCTCTGTCGTTTGTGAATATCACCTGCAAGTATGACATTATCGAATGCACAGCGGAACTCAGGTTTTGACACACCCTCCGCCCAGACGACACTCTTTCCGTTCAGGATCAGCGACTGAACCCGACGTTCAAGGTGGCTTTGGGAAATGATACGAGGCAGTGGCAAAAATCCGTGACAGAGCTTTCGGATCAGCAACCATAAGTTGATCCTCCTACAGCCGAGAACAAAGGTGAGAACGAAGGCCATATCTCCAAGCAGCATGCTTACACCAAGGATGCCCTTCACCCGGATGACATCGCCGTAGAGGCGTTGCCAGCGAAAATCTGCTTCACCAGCCTGACCCTGGTACAACTCGGGAAGGTTTCCTTTGCGGCACAACCACAACTCAGAGAGTGTATACAAGCGAACGGCGCACTCACCGAAAAGGAATGAAGTGGGCTTGGGCCCACGCACTCGAGAAAGCGAGGTGCCGGTGAAACACCTGTAGATAGTATATAGGATGGGGGCAAGGCACAAGAGTGTCAAGTAGCGATCCATCTGCGCAGGGATGCACACCCTCGGCTAGAAAGAGGGTGCTTTTATACAATAACGCAGCAACACTCCAGTGGTGCTTCCCTTATCTTAGTTCCACCGAGTGCCCATCATCAAGGAAGACAAGCCAATGCGCTGTCACTGCGGGGTTGGATACAAAAGGCAGCAAGAGGAGTTTTGACCCGACACAACGGGGGATAGCTGCAAATGACCTTCTGTTGTGCGCATGTCGCCTACGTTGCAATTCTTGGAAATCTCTTGAGGTGGTGATTAGTTACAGTGGTAATAGTAAGCATAATTGATGCGTGAACCTAGAGTCTCTTGTTGCACACACAACACATCTGATTGCACAGCTCAAAGTACAGTTTACAACGGCACACGAGATCACAAACACTCCGCATATCCTTCCTTGCAGTAACATATTTCTGGCTGGGTGAAGACATCTGGGATTAAGGTAGGCCAACCAATCACAATCTATGAAAGGATGCATAAAAACAAACGAGCAGATGTTTACGATGGCACGAGAGGGGCCCTTGTGATGGCAGTGTCCTTGAACTGCTTGATTCTCTGCTGGATCGTGTTACTTGACGTCATTACACGACGACTCGGAAAACAGAAGGTTGAAGTGCATGTAGGCTGGAGGAGTTGCGTGAGACGTACGGAAACTTCTTCCTGCAAGAAATGGAAAAAAAAAATGTTGCCATTATGTAAAGTCCTCGGTCCTGTAGGAGTGCGCGGAAACCTTTCAAACGGTGTTTGAATCGTCAAACCTGGGGAAGATTAGGGAAGGTTCGCAGAGTGAAGAAGAATGTGTACTCACTGGCATATGTCGACTTGGAATGCAGCATCGTTGCCCCGCGAAGTGAGGCGCCAGTGAAGGTTATACGCGTTTGGCCTTGCAGAAGTCTCCTTGCGAGTGAACCTTCCCTTGGAAGGCAATGACCTTGTCGGTGCTACCAAACTTGCTGGCACCGTCAAGCCCGTCGAACCTGTGGCATTTTTATATCTGGTCAGCGACGAAGATGTCATTGCCAATATATTCCTCGAACTATTCTTCGGCATGAGTGATGCGGTCGTACTTGACATCGGCAGCGTACTGTGCCCCATCAGCAAATCATAAGTCTGCTTAACCGTGCTTGACCACTTAGCAGCACCTGTCAAGCACGTAAGTAGCATAAGCATGTTAAGCACCCACATTGCCAAGCATGCATGACTGCTAAGTAACTTGGCGAATGTTTAAGTGTGACTCAAGTAGATAAGCATCCCAAGCAGCTAAGTTACTATGGAATTTGAGCATACAATCAAGTACGCTACAAGTACGAATCTGATAAAAGCGAAAATGCATGATGATCGATAAATCTGTTCATGTAGAAGGTGGTAAATGCATCGTAAGAATGATGCGGCTTTATGGTTCTGGGAATGGGGTGGGTGCTGTACAAGGGGATGAGGTGTGCTGCATGATATATGGTGTCTACATGTATGACAGCGGTGGCCGGGTGACAATTTGCAGTAAGGGCCAGGCATACGATCCACATCCCCGTATCCACATCTGGGTCATCCCCGACATGGTCAAACCACTGCACTACTGTGCATGGGTAATGCTTGCTTTGGGAAATGAAGGAAAAAAACCCAAGGATATGCACGACATCCAAACCATGCATCCCCTTCAGCCCTGGATTAGTATTCACAAATGCACAGTCATACCGGGGTGGCCTGTTCTGCCACGAATGACATGAGTGGATATACTCACACTGCATGCCACCAATACCACTGATATCACTTGGTGCATAGAATAGTGCAGCTGCAGAATTAACGACGGTGATTTTGTTGCCATAGATGGGGCACTCAGATAGTGGGATGTCACAGAGATCGTGGTAGTCTTCAGTGTTGGCTTGTTGAAGCAGGAACTCCTCCAGAATGGTAGGGAGATGTGATAGACCGAGCTCGATTGCAAGATCTGTCATGGTTCTGGCCCACTTCATTTCTGAATGCAAGAGGTTGATTTTGTGAGCCACTGCACTACTCAGGTTAATAAGGTACATATGGGTGGTGCAAGTGAGTTCAACATGCACCTCTATGGATGTTGGGCAGTCCACAGCCTCACCATTGTCTTCATTATGGGGACTGGAACCTAGGACCTGTGATGTACTGCCATTCTCTCTGCCATCTGTTTACTTCATGTGAATATGATGAAAATCAATATGATCGTCCAATGACCAACCTTGAGTCGAAAGGAGCTGCATAGTTGCCATGAGGCAGTTTCCCTCTAGCATCCCTCGTTTGTTGAAATCCCTTCGAGAGGCTGCCAACTTATCTAAGCGCTGATTGATAATGAGCATTTGGCCCAGTGGCTTGTTACGATTGGTCTGTCGGTATGGGTCCTTCACAGCATTGATATGCTTTGATTCGGTGATTGGTGTGCAAAGTCCATTCGGCACCCCAAATAAACATATAAGATCAGGGTAGTGTTTCATCGCATGCTGGCATGGTAAGGAAAAAGTTTGAATGGTACCTGATTGGCGAAATATTTCCTGGTACTTGTGAAAGCAGTCGATGGTATCTTGAACTGCAACCAAGGTTTCTTCAGTGAGGACATTGCAATGGACCAGGTATGTGAACTCCAACAAAGCGCAAAATGTTCGCACAATCTCTGTTGGTACATGCCCCTCAATGGCAGGTAGATACACCTATGTATTGAACATTAACGACAGACTGTATAAACAACCTGATCTAAAATTACCTTCATTAGTGCCTTTGAGTTGTTACCAGTCCACTGTTTGAAATGACGGCCCCCGGGAAAGCAACGGAGCCCTGCAAAAGGCGCAATGGCTGTGATTCTAAGGTATCCTACATGAGGAAAGAAAGAAACGTAAATTAAAGCAGATGTACCTCTGGTCAATATCATCTAAGGTCACATTTGCCTTTGTTGTGCCATGCATGGTCTTCAAATAGCTTTCAACCCACTCGACCAAATGATCCTTGAATGTCCCTTTGATGATCTGGTGTAGTATATCAGGGGCAATGAGTTGGTATATATTGGCACAGGGAAAACTGCTGGTGAACGGCTGAAATCGGTTTTCAGGACACAGGCACAGTGGAATCTAAGTGAAACAATACTTACAATTGTATCACCCACAATGCCATACACATCCCGTAAGGTCTTGAGATCAAACTCCTTGATCAGTGCTTCTGCATGTTTGTGACTCCGATAAAGTGCATCAGTATCAAGTTCCTGCCTCATCGCAAGACATCTGAGATTCTAGTTAGTTGATAGTAAGAGTTGGAAAGTAGAAAAACATACTTCGCACACCACCCTTGCACAATACATGCCAGAAGGACTTGTTCCTCATAATCGGTGATATAAGGGCTGAGTCCAAAAATTACGCGGCGATAGTGTCCATCACCAAACCACATAACAGTTGGTTTGGTCATTGCAGGCTTGAGATTTCGAAGGATATATGTGAGTGATGAATGAAAGAGTTGGCAGTGGAATTGTCGGAACGTGTCAGTGGACGCTGTCACACACCAAAGGTGTTTGGTGAGGTGGACATGGATGTAGCTGATGAATGGAGGTGAAGACCATAGCCCTCATGTGAAGAAGGACAGCCAGCAATGTCAGCAGTCATCCCTCACACAAGAACAGGTTGTCAATGCCAAAGAAAAAGGAGGAGGCAAGTTAAGCGCCAATAAAATTCTTAAGTGCCACATTCCGGTTTTCGACGTATCTCCACCAGTTCTGCAGACACCGAAACCATTCCCACATGTTTCTACAGCACTCCCTCCAAAAGACGCTCATTTCGCTAATTCTTCTGATATAGCTGCCTCCACATCAGTCATTTCACTTGTCCCCTTTGCTAGGGACCATGGCTACATATATCTACCAGGAGTTCATACCAGCTTCCATCCTGAAGCATCCTAGTACATCCCACCCTCGTCTGCCCCCTCTCAGCCCATCCAGCTTGGACAGCATGTTCTTTTTGTCAGTATGACCTCCAGGAGGACATTCTTTGGTTGCCTCAGGTCTGTCATTTGCTTGGAAAGGTCTTATGTGGTTGTTTCAGTCTCTCCAGTCCAAGAAGCATATGGATCCTTCCTCCCTGCCCCCTGCAATGTCTTCATACCAGTCTCGTCCGTCATTCTTCCAAAATTGCAACAGCTACAGTATAATCTACTGTTCTCCACTCTCCCTGATCACATCCATGACGAGTATGATGCACATCTTGCCTCCTTGTTGCAAGAAACAGCAGAAGACGCTCCCCCTTCATCCTCTCTTCCAACAGAGCCTTGTTCATGAAGTTTTTATTTGCTTCACTGAGAGGATGGTTTGGGGGGGAAAGTTGTGATCCCCTATGCTCCTGTCACCCCACAGACCCCCAAAGCTTGACCCCTGTTGACATCTGACTCACCCTGTCCACTTTTGGATGTACTATATCAGCATCAGATCAGTGCTGCCTCTCTGTCATCCCACTTTGGCCTAGAAGCAATCTCTTCAAGATGTGACATGCACAGCCTCCCCCTAATGTGATTCCAGTGCACTTTCCCAGTTCCTGACATTGCTTGACTCATACTTTGACATTCTGACTGTCTTTGACTCACCTATTGCCAATACTTACCAATCTTTTGACTTTGCTTACTGATTCTTTGCCTTTTGGCTTACTTATCCTTACCAATGCTTACCAATGCTTTCCAAGACGATTACCCATTGCTTACATTCCTTACTCATCAGTTACCAATCACTTACCAAGTGTTTGCACCTTGTTTTCCATAGGCAACACCCCTGTACTGTATATAAGTCACTGTACTTAGGTAGCAAAAAAAAGAAGACATCAGAGAGCCCCTCTTGCTCGCAATTTATCATCTCTCAGTAAATCATTCATCAGCTTCGATAGTTGAGACTTTATTAAGGGTCTAGCTATCATCTACTTTGCTTATCATCATCTATCATCCATATACTTCGCTCCAAGTCCTCCCTGAGCTCAGTACAGCTTAGGACATCGAATTAAGTCTCCATCCATCCTTCTGTAGGCTGACAGCAGTCTACTCTATCACTTTCTATCACATTCTTGCTCCCTCTTCGTCAGGAGCACCCCCAACCCTCAGCACTCATCTTTGAGTGTTGTAGCTCGCAAAAAACCCTCCCAAAGAACAGGTTCTACCATCTAGGTACTGCATAGGCACACCACCACTCGCTTTCATTGTCTTTTGTGTTGGTTTTGGTTGGTTTTCACCACTAAACCTCACTTTGACTCACAACGCATGCTCTTTGTCAGCTACAAGTATATCTCTCATTAGCACCATTACTTTCCTATGTATCTATCAGATGCACTTACTATGTGGGATTGCAAGGAAAGTGATGAGAGCGACACTATTGCGATGTGCATGATGAACTTTGTTGCTCATGTTACCTATTGAGAGGTAGAGGGGATAATAATCGTTTTGACCGGTTGCAACTGACACGGTCATCTTGTCACTGCCAAGGATGATTGGAACAAAGGTTGACCCATGCATGGTTGAATCACGAGAAATTATGTCCTGTTATTTGCATGCCATTAGTACAGCGCTCAGAGACATAGAAGATAAAAGATGCACCGCTTGAGTCCACACCCAATCACCAGACATGAAATCCTCCCACTGTCTCTTGTCTGTCGTGCTCTCATATTCCTGAAACAGCCAGTAATCCATGTCTCTCGAAAAATCAGGTTGGGAAAGCATATTGTGAATAACGTCTTTAGGGTCCTGGAACCAAATATCATACACGGCATTCATCCATGATGGGACATTATCAGTTGGTTGTTCGCCAGTATAGGATATGCAAAAATTCTCCCACTGTACATCACCAAGTATAGTGTGATCAATCATCTTGTACATTTTGGCACTATCTTTGAAGATGGGCTGGCTGCCAGCACCGAGAAGTGTCGCATTCCAGAGATCTAGTAACTCGTTAATATTGGCTGCAGACATCTGGCTGCAGGTGAACAGGAAGTCAGCTAGCTCGAACTCCAGACGACTGGAGTATGGTGACCAATCGTTAGGTTGCTTTTCAGAAGGAGTTTGCAGGGACGACTGTCCAACTGGGAGGGGGTTTCCAGACGAATCACAAGGCTGCCCTGTCAAATAATACATCAGTAAATACTTAATTTTTCACCCATACTGTGTACTGGTGAGGTTTGGGTGATAGTTCCGATAATACTTGTCACCTTGTCCAACAAACTCTGCCAGAAGGGTTGGATTTGAAGGGCTTGTCGATGGGTCACTATAGTCATCGTTGTCTGGTCGGAACTGGAATTGTTCCTCTTCAGGCGATGGTACCTGATCTGGCTGTTCTACCTGCATGGGGATGTTGATAGGTGGAAATACTGGGTGGTATATGTTGATGTGCTGGGTTAGGCCCGACTTGTTTCTGAACCATTGACAGCAGCCAGGTTTCATGCAGGGAATCATATCTGAAAGAAAAATGATGAGTAATGGGAGTTACTGTGGGACAGCACAGATTTGCCGACTGAACATAGAATCGAACTAAGCCAAAAGAGACGGCAGCAGGCGTACCTTTTTTTCTTCTGTCTCTTCATCTTCCACCTTCACGCACAGCCAACAACCCTTTGCACTGTGAGATATGGACAACCAACTGGCTGCGGAGTGCCCACAGGAGACACTTGCAAGTGGTTGCCCGAAGCACCAGGTGGCTAATGTGCATCCCGGTAGGATCGTCCTCGACAGCCAACCGAGAAGACAGACGAGTGCAGAGAAGGAAGCTAACAATGAATGCACCCAGGAAGCCCTTGCCAAAAAGGTTGCAGTGCTGAAGAGAGGTTATCAACGGATCGGCGAAATTGAGGATGAAATGGAGGTCAACCAAAGTGGTGTCGCCGCCGGCACTAAGCCCATCAAGCTGTGTCCTCATCCTCGTCCTCATCCTCACACTGTTGGCAGGCAAAGAAATGAGAGTGATGGCGGTATCTATCATGCTTAACCAAGAAAACATGAGGCTGATTTTTTTTGTAGGGATGAATGAGCCACTTACCCCCCTAGCTGACGTGGAAGACAATGCTGGACCTGTAGTGATGAAGGGGAAAGGGACAAAAGCAGCAAAGGCAAAATCGCTGCATGAAGCGATAATCTCCATGTGCAACAAAGTATCCCCACCATCAACACATGACAATAGCATCGGTGCTAGTACTGGTTCGATGTACGTCTTACTTCTTAACATGTTCCTCCTAACTGAGGCAACTCTTTTCTTTGCGAATGTCCTAACGACTGCCAGCTCTGACAATAAACTGACTTTATCTAAGCATGTCAAAAATTGGGTGAACATTGTCGACACAAGCTCTACGTGATCTTCGAGTGCCAGTGCCAGTCCTCGCACATCAGCTGCACCACCTCCATCCACAAGTACCCTCGCTACAAGTACTACCGATGTCAAGTTCCGTGTATTCAATCTCAGCTCTCCACTGCCAAATGATCCCCAATACAACTACAAGTTTGAATCCCAACTACCAGAAAACTTCAACTCGCTACCTGATTGTGTTATGCCTGAGCGCGGTGACTTCTTCAAATGGAATAGGCACGAAGCGCGCAAGGTGGGAGCCTATGGGCTGAACTTGTCGTAACCCCTATGGCTGAGTTATTGCGAGGATCTGACAAAGATCTTGTCTGCTGGCGAGTCCCTAAGGTTGTTCGCGCGGAGAGAAGACAAGGATCGAAGCAAAGTAATTAGCTCAGTTGCAAGCTATCGAAAAACTGAGGATACAAGGTACAGTACGTGAGTTTATATACTCCTAAGTATGAGTACCGTACCAGTCGCGACGCGTATCCGCAGCAGTCAACAGAACGATCACTGAAATAAATAAGAGTCACCCAGTGTCAAAGATGGGGGCTGGGATGGAAACAAAGGCTATACTGGCTGCGCAATCAATGCGCAGTGAGGAGCCAGACACCGGAACTATAATACAACATATAAGCAATATAAACGAGTCAGAGAAAGTCATTCGGAGCAAGGGAACAGCATCTTGTCAATCACGAGAGCGGTGAACGTCACGGATCATGTAGACGAGTCTCGACAGGTATTGGAAATACCTGGACAGCTGGAGATCCGAGGCATCCTTGTAACATATGCACTCCCAATATTATGACAAGTATTAGCGACGCGACAAGGCATGTGACACACGTGACCGCTAGGATCCGAAAAAGGAAGGACCCCTGATGGAAGCGTAACATCACCCCCCCCCTAAGGTCCTCAGACCCTTGAGGACGGGTCGGAAGTCGCATTGGCGGGGCGTGCGGATAGGGGTCAGCGAGTAGTGTATACACGGGAACGTGTTCGGTTGGTGATGGGTGACGATGGCGATGGAGATGACGGCTCCTCGAGGGCTGGAGTATAACGGGAACCTCGTCCGTTGCGACACGACCAATGTCCCAGGTAACGACACTGGTAACAGGCGTGTTGGTACAAGGGGTGCTCGGGAGGAACAGGGGATTGTCCTCCCAGGTAGTACCGAAGTTGATCCGCAGGGATGGGGACGAAGGGAGTCACAGCCCATGACGCATCCTGCAGAAGAACCTCCCAAGAGGAGTTGTGAGTCCCAGTTCCCAATCGTGCACCAACCTCCTTAAAGAGTTCTCCGGAGTCGACAAACCCTAACTCCACGGCACGCCAGTGCTTCTCCTTCTCTTGATCCGAGATATCTTCTTTTAATTTCATCTTGGGCGGGTCGGCTTCTTTCAGGATGATTCGATCAAGAACTCGAGAAGCGGGTGGTGCGAGGAATTCACTGATCTGTTGTTGCCTAAGATGGTGATAGGCTCCTCCGGTGATGGCTTTGGTAATTTCGGAGGAAGCCTTCTCCAACATCTCGATCATGATTACCTCTGATAGGGGCGCCATGCCACTGAGTTTCCGAGTTCGAATCTTGGAGACAAGACCGTTGATCACGTCTGATGCTCGGTAGATCTCAGACAACATCCCAAAATACTTAACCTGTTCTGGTGTGCACCCGTTAATGTCGTCCCCTTCGTGGAAGACGTCAAGTGCCCGAACAATGTCCAGGTACTCAGCCGCTGGGACTGGTAATCTTTGCTTGTCTGTCCCGGTAAGGGCAGTGGCTGAGGCGAGGAGATCAAGGGCGATGCGATCGCCTCTGTTCGCATAGGTGGTGAAGGCGGTGCGAACGTTGGCAGGTTTGGGAGCATTGGCAGCGGAGGGCCTGGCAGTTCCACTATTGGAGTCATCATCAACCCGCACCTCACCCTTTCCCTGTCGGCTACTGTCCTCTCCTGGGAGGACTCTGACCTTGGGGGCAGGGATGTGACGGATCGTGACGCCCTGGTGTGGACGCGGTCTGAGAGGGCGGGTGAAAGCAGGTGATGACGAATGAGGTTGTGAGACGGGCGAGGAGAACCCAGAGACGTAAAAACCGGCGGGGGATGATGGAGGTGAGGTTGGGGCATAGCTAGAGATGGGGGGTATGAAGCAGTCCCCATCGTTGGCGTCGCAAAAGGATTCGGTGGGCAAGGGGAGGTCAGCATAGTCGTTCTCGGTGTTAACTGATCTGGGGGAGTCCATTAATTTTTAAGATGGCAAGCGAGTTTGTATTGGTTGAGCACTTCTTCAGCGTGCTCTTTTAAGTGTTCTTCGGGTTCCCACATATTTGACGAATGGGGGAACCCTTTCCACTTTACCAAATATTTTCTTTTCCCTCGATGACCATCAGTTTTGTGATTTAGAACGGACTCGACCTCCCATTCAATTTCATCGTCTACCATCTCCGGTAACGGTGCTGCGGGCACAGCTCCATATACCTCGTTTTCGATGAATGGGAAGATCCGTGACCCATGAAACACCAGGTGTACCTTCCAAGTACTTGGGAGATCCAATCGGAACGCGACAGGTGACACGGCTTGAGTCACCACGAAGGGCCCGAGACGTTGGGGCGCAATTTTATTGCACTGGTTTTTGATACGGAGGTGAGTGGTATCCAAGAGTACCCGATCTCCGACCTTGGGCGCAACATAAGTCCCTTTTGAGCGGGATTTCATTGCCTCTTGTGCCTTTTTGTGCGCTAGGATCGCAACATCTCTACTTGCTGCCAATCGTTCCAATCTTTCTTCAACAGAAGGTACTGGAGTCACCTGTACTTCCGGATATGGGGATGGGTCGTAACCAAGGAGGAGGGAGAAGGGAGTCATTTGATGCACTGAGTGAACACGGGAGTTGTGAGCGAATTCAGTGGAAGGCAACTTTGCTGCCCAAGAGTTGGGGAACTCCGAGCAGTACAGGCGTAGATATCCTTCCAGCTCTTGATTGACCCGTTCGCTTTCTCCGTTGGTTTGCGGATGGTACCCAGTGGAGAGTTTTGGCTTGACCCCTATCGCCTTATACAACTCCTTGGTAAAGGCCGACACAAACTGGGGGCCTCGATCTGAGATCACCGATTCCGGTAATCCAAATTGGGCGTAAATGAACTTATGAAACAACTTGGCAAGTCTGACGGAGTCAATAGTCTTGTGACAGGGGACAAATAGGGCGGCCTTTGTCAGCCCCTGATCGACAACTGTGAGAACCGCATCGTATTTTTCATCTCCCGAGATGGGGAGGTCCGTGATGAAGTCCATGGATATTTGTTGGAACGGGAAGGCCATTCCAGGAGTTTCGTGAGGCATGACGGGAGGGGTTGGCGGATGGGTGATAACCTTGGTGCCTTGACACACAGGACATCCAGCGACGTACTTTTTAATATCTTTTCCCATTCCTTCCCACCAGACCTCCTTTCTCATTTTAGCAAACATCGCCTTCTGACCGGGATGACCCGAAGACTCGTGGTCATGATACGTTCACATGCAGTGTTGGCGATGATCGGGGGGAATATAGAGATGGGTTGACCCGTATCGTTCTGTTCCATCGGCTTCTGTTGTTACGTTATCTCGAGCTTCCGGTCCCTTTTTGATCCGAGAAGCTTCCTTTTTGATCTGGTCGTAAAGTTCAGCTGACACGGCAAAAACACCCCTGGCTCCTTTGACTGGTTCCTCAATTGGGCGAGCGTCAGGCGACCTATTCTCCTTTGATTTTTCCTCAGTTGGGCGAGAATAGGGCTGGGTGCGAGCATGAGACCGTGTCCTTGCTGGGGGTATCTGACCGATTCGTGCAAGACGATTTATTTTCTGTTGTTTTTGTAGTTTTGTAAGGGAAAATATTGGGGAAACAAGGCGAATTTGAGGTTCCACCCCCTTCGAAAGCCAAAGGTCCGGCGGTAGGACTGTGGCAACCGGGGCGGGTTCGGCGACTTCGCTCTTGCGTGACAGGCTATCCACGGGAACCTGCAAGCGCCTGGCTTGCCAAGAAAAGTGGATAGGATATGACTGGACTGTAGCGGCCCAACGTGCTTGGCGGGGAGTGAGCTGTTGAGGCTCACGATAATATTCGAGATTTTTGTGGTCGGTAAAGACCACAGTTGGTTCGATGGGGGATAGGAGGTATGGGCGAAAGGCTTTGAGCGCGCAAATTATGGCCAGCATTTCCAAGTCATAAACTTGGTAGTGCTGCTCTGCGCCAACCAAAGATTGGGAGAGGTAAGAGCAGGGATGCCATTCACCGTCGGAACTTTTCTGAGCTAGTACAGCCCCAGTACCGAGCTTTGAAGCATCAGTAAAGAGGCCGAAAGGCTTAGAGAAGTCTGGGATAGTGAGGACCAGAGCTGAGCATAACAAGGACTTGAGGCGCTCAAAGGCTTGGTCGCGTTCTGGCGTCCAGGTGTAGGACACCCCTTTCTTTGTAAGATCGTGTAGGGGATGGGCGACGCTTGAGAACGAAGGGATGAATTTTTGGTAGAAGTTACAGAACCCCAGGAATCGGCGAAGCCCAGTTAAATTGTCGGGGGCTTCCCAAGTACTGATGGCATCGGTCTTCGTCGGTGAAGTCTCCAGACGCCCCTTTCCTATAATCATTCCGAGGAATTCAATTTCTTCGGCCTCGAAGACGCATTTACTAATCTTCAAGCGAAGACCTTCTTCCTGGCAAATCATTAAGAACTCCCGAACTCGGGTTCGAAGTTCTTCCTTCGTTTTGGCGTGGATAGCCACGTCGTCCATATATCCTACCTGTTTACCTCTTTGGGACTCAAAAGTCCGATCCATGTACCTTTGGAAGGAGGGCGGGGAATTACATTGTCCGAAGAACATCACTGTTGGCTCGAACAAGCCTCGCAGAGTGATGAAAGCTCCTTTCCATTCGTCCCCTTCCTTGACCCTGAGGTTAGTGAAACCCCAATGAATATCGAATTTGGCATAGTATCGGGATTCGACCAACTCGTCGAAAAGAGCCTGTGCGTTAGGTAGAGGGTGAGCGTCTGGGACAGTAAAGGAATTTAGATATCGGTAGTCTTGAATTAACCGTTTCTTTCCATCCTTCTTCTTTACGAAAAACACAGGGGCGGCTTGAGGCGACGTAGAAGGTTGAATCTTTTTACACGCTAGGTTTTCTTCCAAGAATTCATCCAAGACCTTCAATTCCTCGGGAGACATTGGGTAGACCATTGCCTTCTTGGGTTTAAAGTCGTCGCGAAGACGAATTTCATGGTCCAACCCTGGTCGGTGAACTGGCAGCGGAATATCTTCTTCTGAGAAGACTTGCGTGAATTCTTCGTATTCCTTCGGAAGTAAAACTTCCTCCTTTGTCGAGGATAAGGCGGCCTTGAGTTCTGTCAACAAGGTTGTCTTGTTGACGGTACTTTCTGATGATTCCTTAACGGAACCATCCTTATTAAATTTTACCGCGTATCCTTCATAGTAGGGGACCTGACTATAAATATACACGTCAGTTTCTCGAGTCGGTACAAACCCATCATCCCAACACGAGATCTTGTTATTTTCCCAGTCCATTCTTGGCTTGTATACTCGAAGGAACGGCATCCCTAGAAGGATGTGTTCTTTTCCGACCAATGGACCGACATAACACTTGATCCGTATTACGCGATTCTTGATGATTACGCATATGGTGACCTTCCGGGTTATCCACTCGACGTCCTTTCCATAAACGAAGTGGTTTTGAAGCAGTTTTTGACACAATACGTTGGTATCTTCAATTTTTGAACGATTCGCTCCGAAATGAGCAAAACCTCTGCACCCGAATCGATGCAGACCATTACTCCTGCGTTGAAATCTGGTAGCCATACTCTTCCCAAAGGTGAACCGACTCACATTTTGGATTCATCATCTATGGTAGTAGTACAAACAGCGGATAACATAGAGACAGGACCTACGTGAGGAGTTTCCGTGGTCCCATTTAAAAATTTACCCCATGCGCCTTCATTTCCTCGTCTGTTGCCAGACGATCTCCTATGTAAGCAGTCCTTGTTCCGTTAGTGGAAAGAACGACTCGAACGCCAGGCGAGGTCGCGGGTTTCTGGGATTTACAGTCACGCTTGTAGTGACCCTTTGCTCCGCATTCGAAGCACGTTACGTTATCGTTTGATCGGCGTATGTTTCGCCTTCTTTTGTCAACATCCATCACATCAGGATCTCGGGAATTGCCACGGAAATGAATAAACTTCCATTCATACTTGGACTCTTTTCCCTCAAGGATATGTTTAGTCGCGATTGCGGTTCTTGCTTCTCCCGCGCACTGGATCCACTCGATGACCATGGAAGGCGTGCGCCCTGAATTGAGAACCCAATCATGGTACTCCTTGTTGAGTCCCTTCCCAAAGAAGATCCCTGCTTCTCGTGACTCTTCTTTTAGTTGGGCCTTGTTAACCAACCCTGTAAACTCGGCAATATATGCTTCTAGTTCTCTTTTTCCTTGTGAGATGTCAGAGAGCCACAGGATTGCAAGTGCCATTTGATCGCCGGATTCGAACGTGGCTTTAAGGCATTCTACGAACCTCTGGAAGGTGTCGGAATACCAGATGGTGCCATCTAGAAGCCTATTTTCGTTCTGGTAATTTTCGGCGAAAGACACGGCAGCTCCCTTCGTCATATACATGAGGGCGAAAGAGATCTTGAGCGATTCCAGTGTTGTACACATGCTTTGTTAAGGTTTAGATAACCTTCCACTTGGGTGATCCAAGTCTGAAGCCCAGTTGTGGCTTCTGTCGTATTCTCCGGGACGCCCGACATTAAACTCCCTTCCTCCATTGGGGGGGCGGACATCAGTACGAGTCATCGCCATCGTCGGCCGAAGGCTTTTCCCTTACTGGACCCACCAATGGGGACCTCTGGGGGAAATCACCTTTCCGAAATTTCTGGCGTACCATGCTCGTAGAGCCGAGTCCAGTAGGTGTTCCTGTTGGGAAGGGATCACTCGACTGACCTTGACCAGCAATCCTTGCTGCCAGTCCTCTGCCAAAGAGTGCATCTGTCTTTCCAACCTTTCCTTCAGCTCCGCTTCGGAGTATACCTTCGGCGGCATCTCAGGGGCTGATTCTCCAGTGACCGATTGTCATGGACATAACGGGTGATTTGCCGTGCTTCTTGTTCTTCCTTGAGGACTGATTCCGAACGAAGTATCGGACTTCCGATCATCTTCTTCTGAACTAAGCGCGACTTCCGATTCCCTAAAATGGGACAGATAAGATAACCTAGGGTTACTTGCGGTTTTTGATGGCCCAAGTCTTCCTGGTATCAGCGGTAAAGGCGGGTTCCTTCCTAGCCCTAACAGGGTAGTTCTCGGAGGGACAGGAGGTCTCGACTTTGAAGGGTTTGACACTTTGATGGATAGTGACAACAAAAGCTGAGGGAGGATTTATTTCTCGAAAGAAACCTGTCAGTGTAGAGGGGTTGTAAAGGTGTGCGAGTGATTTTACACGTAGGGAACCACAAGTGCGAACTCTAGGGAGGTGATCTATTAAAGCCTAGTGGCTGCCTGTAGAGCGGTGGATTTGATTTAGGGTGGAGGGGTGCTTCTCAATTTTGTTATCGACTTTTGTTACGGCTGAGTTGAGAGGCGAGAGGCAAGGTGAGTCAGTCTTTACATGTAGGGAGACCAACGAGCCTTTTGTTTGATAAAGGTTTGGTTTGTTGAAGTTCAGTAACCAGGGACAAGTAGACTTTCGCGAAGAGGTCGACGAGTCCCAAAAGCTGCGTAGAGTTTTTCGATTTTGTTATGCCCGAGCGCGGTGACTTCTTCAAATGGAATAGGCACGAAGCACGCAAGGTGGGAGCCTACGGGCCGAACTTGTCGTAACCCCTATGGCTGAGTTATTGCGAGGATCCGACAAAGATCTTGTCTGCTGGCGAGTCCCTAAGGTTGTTCGTGCGGAGAGAAGACAAGGATCGAAGCAAAGTAATTAGCTCAGTTGCAAGCTATCGAAAAACTGAGGATACAAGGTACAGTATGTGAGTTTATATACTCCTAAGTATGAGTACCATACCAGTCGCGACGCATATCCGCAGCAGTCAACAGAACGATCACTGAAATAAATAAGAGTCACCCAGTGTCAAAGATGGGGGCTGGGATGGAAACAAAGGCTATACCGGCTGCGCAATCAATGCGCAGCGAGGAGCCAGACACTGGAACTATAATACAACATATAAGCAATATAAACGAGTCAGAGAAAGTCATTCGGAGCAAGGGAACAGCATCTTGTCAATCACGAGAGCGGTGAACGTCACGGATCATGTAGACGAGTCTCGACAGGTATTGGAAATACCTGGACAGCTGGAGATCCGAGGCATCCTTGTAACATATGCACTCCCAATATTATGACAAGTATTAGTGACGCGACAAGGCATGTGACGCACGTGACCACTAGGATCCGAAAAAGGAAGGACCCCTGATGGAAGCGTAACAGATTGCAAAGATGGAGAAGCTAGTGGGCCAGTGAGACCTCTGGCTTTGGATGTCCCTGCTCTTCAAAATGTTATTGTTGAGTATCTTTCATGCTGAAACGGTTTTTACTCATGCAATGGTAGTCTCAGTGTGCTGCTGCAATGGCCGAGGAGTATGAGGCCAATGATCCTGCCACCAGACTCACCAACATCAAGAGGAAAGTAGCTGAGTTGGAATACATCTCGACCTCTGAGGTTGAGGGTGACAGCGTTGATGATAACTGTGACAATCTAGATGATGCCATCTGTGTTTTGGGGCACAAGAATGCTGCGGCCAAGGTATGTGCTGACCACCTTTCTCCATGTTCCTTCATCTTTTATTTTCTTTCAGTCGCATGTCACAGTTACAAAGGGCATGCCAAAGAAGATCAAGATACAAGCTTGCAACTCTATGTCCAGCTTATCAGCCACATCTACTAGCAAGAGATCTATTGTAGTGAGTGATTCGTCGAGTCAAGTGCAGACCATCCCTGCACAAGTGCGTTTCAACAATTCGGATCTCCCCTCAGATCTGCATAAAGATCAGAAGTGGAAGAGGGAAGTTATTCCGACACTAATCCTATGGGCTGGAAACCAAGAGGATGCATTCAACATCGCCAAGCAAGATATTTGCAGGGCTCTACAGGAGATCATGCCAGTTGTATACCCCATACTCAAGAACACGGCAGGTAGCATTCTTCCCAGCTCGCCCATGGTTTCTGTTGTAAGTCCATTTCATTCTGACTTCATCTGTAGCTGACTGTGTTTGCCATAGGTGTCTCAACGCTTGTGTGATTGGAGGCATGGCTTTGCCTCTGTGGCTGTTGTGCAACTCATAGCTTTCTTCCTCAATCCTCAAGACCCATTGCCCGCTGACACTGCAAAAGTATTACTCAATCATTTCACATTCTTATATGAAGACCTCGACATGACTGTTCCTGAGAAGGCCTTCCGCTCCGTTTTTGTGCAACAGCTGCTGCTGAGCAGCCATTTGACCACAACCAAAGGATACATTCAAGTCCCCACTCTTGACACTTCGTCTTTGGCGAAGCATGGTGTTGTTGGTGCTCTTGGACTTTGTGCTGCTGCGGTAACATTTATCAAGTCATTTTCATAGCTACAGTATTGATTAGTTTTTTAGCTCTCATGTGGCTTGAACCTTGTTAGATCTGGTGATGTCGAGCTCAAGTCCCCCATCAATGTCAAAGATTGTATTGCCAAAGTGGCAACGAGGTTTGTGCAGACCCCTGTCAAATACAACATGGCTTCGGGCAAGGATAGCAAGACTGCATGCACATTTTCAGACCAGAATTGGGGAGCCCCAATGAGGAAGTTTACAGGGGCCACCAAAAGAAGATCTATTGCTCAGCTTCAAGCCATTGTAGAGCTCGCCCTTGCTTCGCTTGCAATAGGGCAAGAACTCAACCCCGAGCTGTTGAGTGATGCAGGATCTGACGACGAGTATGCACTTATCTGTAGGTTTTCATTCCCTACTGCTTATACGATCCACTGAGTCCACAACAGGATCTCTAATACATCTTCCCAATTGCTATCACTAGTTCATCTATGTTTTTCAATCCCTCGATCTTACTGCCACATAATTTACTTCACCGCTACTTAGCATGTGCTTAGCAGATATTAATTGCACTTCATTGCTGCTTATCTGCTTGACGGAACAGAACCAGCATTATTTCAAGTAAGAAACTAATAAGCTAAGCATGCATTAAGTAAAAAATAAGCAGTGCTAAGTAAGTATCCAGCAGAAGGATCTACTTATCCAAGCAGACGGCTGCTTGGCAGTTGGTATGATAAGCAAATGTTAAGTAGCTGTCAAGTAAGGATAAGTAAACTCGTGATTTGCTGATGCCCCGAAGAGCTCACTTCTATGGTGGACTGGATGGGATACGGTATGGAGACATTAGATACCGTCAACGTTCGGTATGATTTTACCTGCTGTTCTCCTTTCAGGGAATGCGGTGGTGTAACTCCAGGCGAAAATAAGAGTGGTTCGATCGGTGATGGCGCCAACCGCACCTTGATCGTAGTTGTATCCATACATAAACTGGTCGAGCAGTTCGGAATAGATGACCAGTGCGACAAGGATGTGTCAAGTTGGATATGGCTACTTAAGAATATGACACTTGTCGATGTTGCTATCCCTCCTCGTTACTAACCTTTCGTTTCCCAGTGGATTCTATGAAAAGTGTACCCTCTATCACATCACGTGATCACACCTCCTATTGCACCCCTCATCTGGCTTAATGCATCCCCGACCTCCTCAAGTTATGTCTTGACACTGGCGACAACCATTCTGCTGTCTCCCCGATGCCCACACTCGTCGCTTCTCCCATGACCTCTGTCTTTGCCAAGCTCGATGTTGATGGGGACGGGAAGACCAATGACGCATCCCGCCTCACCAGTTCCTACCCAGCTACGTACAAGGACTTCTACGGCTTGCCCAGCCTCCCTCCCAGCCTGGCGGGAACGCACAGGCCCGGAAGCATATCGTATTACTCGTGAAGCTCGCCCTGCCTATGACCATCCCATCGCTGACCAATGGCATGCCATCGGCACGAGCATATATCAGTTTCTCGACTCCCAGGGAGTCAAGTGGACTTCAATCGACCCCGTCGCTTTTGCTGAGGAGGGGGAGGTGGAGCCGTTCTGCCCACTTCTTATGTGGATTGGGGTCCATCCCAAGTCCCTCATCTACGATGCTGCTGTGGCTGCAGCCGGTGGCTTCCCTGAGATCGAAGTTGCCTTCCGTGAATCAGTCATCAATCGGTCTGTCGCTACGGGCCCCAAGTTGCTCCCCTTCAACCCCCTTCGTGACCCCGTCCCCGAACTCCTCAAGCCCTTCACGCCCACGCTTGGCCTCTCCATCGCACCGCTGAAGACGCCGTATTATGAGGGCACAGGTGCCCTCTACCTCCGCGTCGGCAACACTGACAAGCGCACTGTCCTCCTCACTGCTGCCCACGTTGCTCGTCCTGGGCTACAACAATGCTGTCACGGACATGCTGAGTGCGATTGGCGACCTTTCCAGATCGATCGATGTCTGGAACGACAATATTGCTAGATTGTCCGAGCAGTCCGCTGAGAGGGAGGAGGATGAGGAGATGGCCGAGAAGCGCCAGGAGTATGTGGACCTAGTGAACAAGGCGAGGAAGAAGATTGAGAAGATAAACAAGCTTCACAACTATGTCACCAAGTTCTGGGCGACCCCGAAGCATCGCATCATCGGTTTCGTCCTCCATGTCGAACCATCGCCGTCAGTGACGAAGCCCACCAGTTCACCCACGACTGGGCACTGATCGAACTCTACGAGGAAAAGATCAGCTGGGACTCGTTCAAGGGCAACAAGGTCTATGTTGGTATGTTTTTTTCCATCTCTGGCCACAACTATTCATATTTATCATCCATGCAGGCGAGAACCTCTCGTCGTCCGACTACGGCAAGATCATGCTCCCCCGACCTGAGGACCAGGCCGGCTACAAGTACCCGCGTGATGGTCTCCTCCAGGCCTACGGTGTCGTGAAGGAAAAGGAGATACGATCGCCCCAGTACCTCGATGGCCACAAGTGTCTCCTCGTAGTGAAGAATGGCATGGCCACGGGCACTACTGTGGGTCGCGTCAACGGGTTGTACTCGTTCACTCGTGTCTACACCGAACATGGCATCCAACAGACGTCGGTCGAGGTAGCTGTCCTGCCTTACGACAGGAGGAGGGGCGCCTTCTCTGCCTCCGGAGATTCTGGTGCCATCGTCTTCGAGAGGGGCGGTGGCATTGTTGGCATGCTCACCGGTGGCAGCGGCACGACTGAAGCCACCGACACCACCTACCTTACCCCGTACTGGTGGCTCGAGGAGCAGATTAAGAAGGTCCTTCCCGTCTCCTACCTCTACGACGACGTCTAGTAGACGGCAAGTTCGACACGCAACGGGCTCCTCAATGCACTCTTCAATGGACCTCTCCCCCCTTTCTGTCGTCTCGTCTCGTCTCGTCTCCACGCTCGCTTCCCCCCCTTCCTTCCGTCCCCTTTCGTCCCGCTCGTCTATCTGCCATCAGCTCGCTGTCGATGCTGACGTGGTGGACTACAGCCTAGGTTCGTCTTGTTCTTGTTCTCTTTCTTTCCTTTTCACACATGACTAACGTCGTTTGTTCTCAATATAGCTAGACCTCTCATACTCGTCGGACTCGCCGTGTACGTCTTGGACGATTCGGCTCGATGTTGGTCAGCCCCTTGTACAGTATCGCGTCTTTTTGCCTCTCGATCATTTCCCAGAGCGTATTCTTATGTGTTATTCTACTATAACTATGTATATCTAACGGATGTGGTATGCAAGCTGACTCGCCCGAGTCAGATGCGACGATGAGGCTAATGTGACATTATCATTGTTCAATCGTGTGCCATCGACTACGGTTTCCACCCAGTTTCTATGTACAACCCCAGCGTGCAGCCTGTCCCATGCTGAAAGAAGCCGTGAATCTGAATCTCATTTCAATTAGTACATACCACAGCATTTCTTATACACCAGATGTGCACATCGTTGAATGTCAATGTATCTTACAACGTGACCAGACGAGATAATCAAGAAGAAAAAGGGGGGATAGCGCTGCACCACACTCCCTGGCAATCTTCCGTCAAGAGAAACGGACGCAAGAAGCGCTCGAGGGTGTAGCTAGCAGCGCATCACTGGTAAAACAATTACCTCACACTTCCTGTGCCCGGGGAGCGACCGATATAGCGAGTGGTAACTGAACCCCACGAGCGACCTCGCCCTCCACGGCCGGCGCCATCAACACGCACGGCTCACGCCGAATTCTCTTAGCTTTCTCAGTGAGGGATAACTCGAACTTGCTGACAATTTCCAACAGAAAGGCCTGAATTTCGATGACACTGTGTGGAGGAGCCAAATTGGGAGGTCGTCATGGACAATATGTAACCATTGGTCGTCGTTGCTCAATCAGACACTTGACGCAGAATATACGGCATACTACTTACGCAAATCGCCATCCGGGACACGTGCGGTGGCCGGCGCCAAAAGTCATTCTGGGGGAAAGGGGAAGGCTTAAAAAACCCGAATGGGTTGGCACATAAGAATACATAGGCTCACAGGTTCGAATACACTCCGGTGGCAGTTTCTTTCTTGTCCTTGGCAATGCCATCCAACCAACGGTCTGGATTAAACACATCGGCATCCTCACCCCACAAATCCTTGTTGCTATAACGTCTTTGGTACCTATTCCAGGTGAAAGAAATGGAAGTACAAACCGGTTGTATGCAGCGATAGATGCTATGATGCGGGTCCCTTTCGGAATGAGTATCTCGTGCGTTAATTCGCCCGATTCCGTCTGAATGGGTCGAGAAAGTGGCAGAACGCAGTCCTGGCCAGCCGTGCGCATCACCTGCGGCGCTATGCAATGATATCTTAAAGCTTCCTATGATTGCCGCGATGCAAGCAACGCTCGTTCAATCTTTGCATTGAAAGAAATCAAATGCACTTGCCCTAGTGACAGCATTCAAATATGGCATTTTATCCAGGTCAGATACTGTGAATTGAGTGTCCCCACGAGCACGAATGATCGACTCTTGTTGTCTTATCTCCGCTCTGAGTCTTGATTGTACCTCTGAGTTTCGTGCCAATTCCAGCAAGGTGAAGTTGATGGTATTCGAAGTTGTTTCATGACCTGAAAGGAGAATTGCGCTTACACAGGGTAAGCAAGAATGTTGCCGGTTGCACCACTTCAGCGTACCGCATCAATGAATATAGCTCTTCGTCATTCAGCTTGTTCTTCGCCTCGGCGTCCATGTTCGCTTTGACTGAAAAAAGATGATTGCACTGGTTATAGGCGTCACGTTATACTCACTGAGCAGTGTGAAAATGTCCCTGCTACCCTTTCCTTGTAAAAGAGATTGTGCCTTCTTCTTCACCATGCTTTCTGCAGTGGCAGTGGCGACTTCTTTGGCTTCGCGAAGGCGTACAAGACGATCGTCTGTGCTGTGTTTGGCCCAGAACTCCAGGACCGATATCGGGATGTACTTGACAGCTTCTTGGAGGAAGATTTGCAGCGCCGAGGGGGTACCAAGAACGTTCATTCTGTGGAAAAAACCTGAGTATCACAGGTCCCACTTTCCAAAGAAAAAGAGTGTTGCAACATACACCATCCCGTGATAGCTGTTCGATAGTGCATTCTCGGAGTTGACACAACCCAGCCGGACGTCAAAAGCACCTGAGTCGGAAGCAGAAAGGTGAGTTGAGAACACAAAGTTGACCGCCACATGTACCCTCTCCTATGGCGTCCAATGTAGCTCGGGAGATCCAACTGGGGATGTCCAGTATAGCCTTGTGGCTATTATTAGCCTCGACGAGTTCCGTCCACCTCGCAACCATCTCAACAGGAAATTGTTATCTAGCCTAAGTCAAGACGAAGGAACTTACAGCCCGGGCAGAAGACTGCGATATGGCAAAGAATGCCCGCGATTCAGGTCCACCAAACCCGGGATTCAAGATCTTTCTCTGCCGTTTGTGAGTTTCGCCTGCCGACGTCACATTATCAGATGAGTAATGAGCGTTAGACTTTCACATACCCTCTGCCCAGAGGACACTCCTTCCGTTGACGGTTAACGACAGAGCTCGACGTTCATGCGGCTTTTCGAAAAGGTAACTTGCGGGAGCAAAAATTCGTGACAGGGCTTTCGGATCAGCGACCATAAGCTGATCCTCCTACCGCCAAGCAAGGTGAGATAGAGGTGGTATGGATCAGCAGCACACCTACGCCGAGGATACCTTTCACCCGGATGACATCGCCGTACAGATTTCTCCAGTGGAAATCAGCTTCGCCTACCTGACTGTGGTACAACTTCCAGGAGGTTCCCTTTCCGACACGACTCAGATAGGACCACGAGAATGAACGGTACTACACTCACCGAAGAGGAAGGAAGTGGGCTTGGGTCCGCGCACTCGAGAGAGAGACGCGCCAGGTGTAACGCCTGTAAATAGCGTATATGAGGAGAACAAGGCACGAGAGCGTCAAGTAGCGATCCATCTGAAGCGCAAAGTGCGCCTGGCAAAGACACTATTTATATATAGTAGGAAAGCGGGCGATTGGCTTGCGGTTGGAACGCCATTGGAATCAGGGTGCGGACACATTTGAGTTATGTATTTTGCCTGCCAGCCTGCACGTGGGACACCCCCACAACAATGAATGTCCAATTCATGTTCGCCTCCGCCCGCGGTGTTTGCACTTCTACGAGGATAATTCAAAGGTGCCGGTCCCTGGGACTTCCTAACGCGACGTGGAGTGGGAAAAGAGGCTGGACCGTGCGACCGACCATGTGATGCGAGTTTCCTCACATCAACCTGCACGCGGACAGCCCACAACGGTACTGATCATGACCGCCCAACGTCCTATGAAAGCATTATCAGTGTCTCCACGACGTTGAGGGCAGCACAAACAGGATGCAGAAAGGGACATTCTTTCCAGAGATAACGGAGCAGAACAACTAAAGACCAAGGCGCAAGCGCTCATCAGAGAGAGACGGTTGACCCATGACGTATGACGATTGGTAAAACCATCTGCAACCTAGAAGTTGTATGCATCTACCTGTAGAATTTGAATTGATACGAGGAATTGCTCTCTGACGTTGATAATTCGAAGGTGCTGGAACGTTTCTGTCAGTGGTATAGTACATACGGTACGAACACGGTTACTCACATTTATCAAGCCACGAATTTAAAATTAGGATACCTGCAGTTTTCTTGATGCACCATCAAAAACTAAATCGTACCGCTGCGCACTCGGACAAATGTGGTCACGTGTAAGCATACACTTACCACTAACACGCCACTCATGCTATTGTCATCACTCATGCTAACACATCACACTATCACACCTCCTATCGTGTTTTCGTCCAGGCATGCAGATCCCTCCTGTGTTGTGCTGTTCGGACTCTGAGGGTATATATACTGGTGCTGTCTGTGTCCACAGGAGATATCTCTCTTTCTTCCCTTTCTCTCTCTCTGTCCATCATCTTGTATCAGTGTATATACTTGATTGCTCAAATCCACATGCCTGTCTACATTCTGTCATTGTTGTGATCAGTTTGAGTGTGCTCACCCCTCTGTGGTGATTTCCACTTTTTTTGAATGTGCCATAGCACATGTTGATGCCTAACAGAGGTGTCAAACTGCTGTCTCATTGTGTCCCCTCCATCCCTGTACCCTTGACTATGAGTAGTCAAGGGAATAACCCTCCATCCACAACACCATTGTCATCACCACTGTCTTCATCTTCACTGTCTCTGTCATCTGTTGCCTCTCCTTCCCTGCCACCTATGCCACTGCTCATGGCCTCACCTGGTGTTGCCCTCTCTCCACCCATCTCTCCTTCACATATCTCCTTGTTACCATTGTCTCCTGCTTCCATGAATAGCTCCTTGTCATCTGGTAGTTTTACTGTTGTCCTCCTTACCATTGCAATGTCCTTGACACAGGCTCAGACAGCACAATGCAAGAACACCACTCCTGGCAAGACCCCTCCCTTCTTGACAGCAGGGGATATTACCCCAGAAGGGTTGTGAAGCTGGGAGTTGGGTTGTGAAAATTACTTCTAGTTGAAGAGTGTAGCAGAGGACATCCAAGTCACCAAGGTTGTTGGCCATCTCCTGGATCTGTGTGTACAGGATTGGATCAGCAACAATGGCAGTCACCTTACCACCCTCACCTTCTTGGAGTTTATGGATGAGGTCCACTCATATTGGCTCCCCAGTGACTGGACAGAGGCTATCCAGCAAAAAATGTTGTTGTTGACACAGGGTAACAAGGCCTTTCACCATGGGCTGTTGAAGTAGAAAGTCTGAATGTCTTGTTGCAAGGAAGTGAGTTTCATCTCACTGAAGATCACCTCCACTTCCATTTAGAGTCTCACATGCACCCTGATCTTACTGCAGAGTATTGTTTGATGAGTTCTTGTTGTGAGAAGCAGTTCTGAGCCTGGCTTAATCTGGTTTGCCTTCTTGATGAGAAACATGTCCATGATGCTGCAAAGCTTGATGCAGCCCTCCAGAGGAAACCCTTCCAGCCAAGTCATTCAACTAATACTACAACTTCAAACTCGAAGGGGCTGGATGGCCATACTTGCATGTGCCCACCTGCCCTTACCATTGAGGAATGTCAGCTCCTCCATGACAATTCAGGCTGTTTCAAGTGTTGCCATCTTTTCCAGAACCACATCACACACAGCTGTCCCAATGACTTCCCAGACATGAAGAATTATAAGGCACTGGCTGCTGCTGATGTTGAAGCTGCTTGCAAGAAATGTGCAAAGCCTGTCATGGCAGTTGTGGAAGATGAACCAGCTCTGAAGCATTCCCACATCTTGGAGGAAGATGATGCAGACACTATTGTGGCTGTCATGCCCTCTGCCACTCTTGGGGATGGAACAGACTCAGGTGAAGAGTATGTCACCCCTCTTTCTGTCCCCCATCTCTGCTGGTCCTGTCTTCTTGAAGGACCTAACTTGACCTTCCCCCTCCCTGTAAAAGTGCTTATTGACAGTGGTTCTCACCTAGTACTGATTGATGAGTCCCTTACTGCGAAGCTTGGTCTCCAGCATCATCAACTGCACAAGTCTCTTAATGTGTCAGTCACCCTTTCTTCTGGTGACAGGGAAGTCATGTCATTGGGAAGCTATGTTACCCTGTCTTGCCTTTCTCCTGATTCATGTTTTCACTCATGCTCTGTTTGTGCCATTATCACACTTGGGCTGTGTACCCCACTTCTGTTGGGCCTTCTGTTCTTATCCCATAATGAGTTTGTTATCAATCATGCTCTCCATACTTGTATTAGTAAAGATACTGGTTATGACTTAATGAACCCCCCTGGTCTCTGTGTGTTCTCCCCCACTGGTAACTCCCTCCCTCCAGGCTGTTAAGAAAGTTAAGAGTGAGGTTCTTACAGAGTTGCGAAGCATTTTGCTGAAGTATCACAAAATTGTGGAGGTAGCATCCACCATGGTCTGTAGGGTAGATATCATTGGTGCAGTACAACATTGCATTGAGGCCCTCACTGCTATTGAAGAACTGACCAAATGTGATGTGTGACTTAAGGTGAAGTTTGCAGATTGCTTCCTGGCAGACATCCCACCCACTGATGCCCTGCCTGATGATGTTCTATTCTGTGTGCAACCCAAAGATGCTAACAAAGTGATTCAACTTCAGTTGTATGATTGTCCTAAGAAATATCATGAAGCTTGGAAGATGTTACTACAACAACACCTCAATGCAGGGCATTTGCAACCTTCCAATAGCATGCACTCCTCACCTGCATTCATCATCCTGAAGGCAGACCCTATGGCCTTACCATGCTGGGTGAATGATTTTTGACAACTCAATCTGAACATTGTACCTGATAATCACCTGTTACCCTGCATTGATGAGATCCTTTGTGATTGTGCTAAGGGCAAATACTTTGCTAAGCTGGACATGACCAACACATTCTTTCAGATCAAGGTTCACCTGGATGACATCAAGTGGTTGGCCATACACACCCCTTGGGGCCTTTATGAGTGGACAGTTATGCCCATGGGGGTGTGCAATGCCCCTGCAGTTCATCAATGTTGTATGTCCTCCACTCTCCATCACCTAATCAGTTGTATTTGTCATGTCTACCTCAATGATATTATCATCTGGTCACAAACACTCGAGGAACATGAATGCCACATAGTGTAGTCACATTTAGTCACAACACATGGGCAGCCTGTGTGCCAAAACACCAATGCTCATATAGACCCCAAGATGGGCCCACCTAAATAGATTAACCAGTGCACATGGACAGGCCTGAGGGACTAAAGTGAGAGCAACATATGTACAGGCCTATAAGTGCATTACCACAACATATGGGAGGGCCTGCAGTGGGTAAGGATGTTGAAACATTTAGACAGGCCTGTGACCAATTAAGTATACTGAGTTGCTGTAAGACATGGACAGGCCCATCCTGGTAGGTTACCCCCCTGTTGCAACATCAAGGCAGGCCTGCCTATCATAACATGGAGAGGGTCACAACATAAGGACAGGCCCATCTATGATTAGAATACAAAGTTGGCAACATATGGACAGGCCCAGGAGTAATATCATTTATGGTGTTGCAACATCTAGACAGGCCTGTTCATAATAAGCCATACCCCTGTCACAACATAAAGATGGGCCTGTCAGTAATGTCATTTCATAATGTCACAACATATAGACAGGCCTGTCAACAGTAAGACATACCACTGTTGAAACATAAAGATGGGCCTGTCACTAGTATCATTTAATAGAGTCACAACATAAGGTCAGGCCCATCAGTAGTATTATGCAACATATGGACAGGCCTGTCCACAGTAAGATGTACCTCTGACAAGACATAAAGGTGGGCCCATCAGTAATCTCATGTATAGCATCACAACATATGGGCAGGCCTGGCCCCAGTAAGATGTACCCTGTTGAAACATAAAGATGGGCCCATCACTAATATCATTTAATAGAGTCACAACATATGGACGGGCCCTTCAGTAGTATTATTTAGAGTCTGTACGGTATGTTCACATAGTCTCGCTACACAGTTGCTTGCTGGCTTTGGTATTTTACTTTGTTTGTGATCCTGGCAAGCCACTGCTCTGCCATGTTGCAGAGTTTGTATTTTGAACCACTCCAACAATGATGGATAGTGAACCCCTGGAACCCCTCCTACCAATTATTGCAGCACTAGCAACACTCGTTGGTGAGTCTTGCCTCGAGCTAGTGACTGAAGATATGCCCTCTGATAAGGATCAAGCCAACTGGACTGAGGAAGAGAAAGAGGCCCTTGTTGCTTTCCTTGTTGATGAGAAAATTGCTGGCAAGATGGGTGATGGGTCATTCAAGTCTGCCACTTGGAGTGCAGCCACTGCCCACATAAACAAGAAATTCCCAAAACAAAAAGGTGTGATGAAGACC